AAAAAAAAAAAAAAAAAAAAAAAAAAAAATCCCACAATTCGAAATGTTGTCGCCGAGTGTTATAAGTTTATTATCACTTAGACTCAACGAATTATTATCGTTACAAAGTTCTTCTAGCGCACTTGTAAACGGTGAAGTTGTAAGCAAAAGTTTTTACGCTATTATTCGTGTGCGTTGCACCTTGGACATGAAGGTATAAAGAAAGGCTTACTTAACGTATTAAAGCCGAGATTTATATAAGAAAAAAGTAGTTTCTTATTTAACCGGAGTTGCAATTAGTTCGTGCTGGTCTCTGCTCTTTTAAGGAAATATATGCTATCGCTGAAAAACAATTCTCTGTAATTAAGCGAAGCCAATGAAAGAAGAAGAAGAAGAAGAAGGAATCGTTAGCTTATAAGAATTATCGAAGAACTTGAGGATCTTTCAAATTTTCCAAGTAGATAGTTGAATGGGACAGAATGAAAACTTTGAGAGCTCTTTCCAATTTTAGTAGCTGTGTGCTATACGATCATTCCTCGTTAAAAAAAAAAAAAAAAAAAAAAAAAACAACAAAAAAAAAAAAAAACTAAAATCCACTGCCAATTTTAATTAGTATTTGGTATGATTGATATATCGAATGATATTGAATTTCCATTATGTGATCACGATCCATTGCCTCTTTTCATAGAATGTTCTCACAATTTCTTGTAGAAAAAGATCTACGAGACTTTTCACCTCAAACGAGTCCTCTCAACTTTGTAATCTCTTTATTATTCTTTATTATTTATTTTTCAAGATAATTATGGCAATTGTTCTCGATCGCGCATTCGTCATTAAAAAAAGCTTATACTCTTCGAGCGATTACTTAACTCGGAATATCTTGAAACATCAATTTCTATTATGTTTTAGACGCGGTTAATTCTTTCTTCGCACGTGCGCGTGGCCATTCAATACATTTTGTTTTTCTTTTTTTTATAGTTCAGTACGTTATAATCAGCTCTACGTCGCTTTGATTTAAAATAGCGAGAATAATGATAGAAGAAGAGCGTTGGTGCATTTCAATGCCAATTGGAAGATGCTTTGTACAACAATCTTTCGCTCATAAGTGACGTTTAACTGAGAAATTGAAATTATAAGCAGAGAAATATAGGATTCCAAGAGTGTCGCTTTCATTATTCCCATTATTCTCACACAGTAATTCCGTAATACATTTATAAATATCAAGCCCAGATCGTTAATTGCGGTTTGTAACGTACGATCGATAATGTATAAAACGAATTTAGCTCGTTGTATAAATAATTTCGTATATTGTGTAACAGCACCGATCCCTCATCATAATTTACTCTCTAATTTTAATCTTAGACAAACAGCGATAGATAGCTTAATAACGCGCTCCGAGCACATAATTCTTCACATTTACAATCCTCTCCATATTTGTTAGTGACAATTCAACAGTGTGCACGCAAAATAAATTTAAGCGTATTGGATGTATGGTAATTTTATTGCCTATCGAACCCGAGGAACATCCAAGAACAAGAGGATTCGAGATATCTTTACAGTCAGGCCCCAACATCACTTTTGCACGAATGCATAATAATTATCACATGCACGCAAAGTATTTGCATCTCCTGTATTACGCGAGCCTTGCTTTATTTGAGCACTCGACGACCATTTCAAGTGCAAAAAATAGGACGTTGTGTCTTGAATTACCGACAAGCTGTCGATCATCGCTCGCGACATTCCTCCCCTCTCGTGCTCAGGCTCCCAGTATTGGACGCGATGCATCCTTTCCCCCATAATGCGCTGCTCGATGCTGGAATATTCGCTCGATTCACTGGCATAATAATGATAATGATGATAATGATGATAATGATGATAATTATGATAGCATCAACAATAACGACAATAATAACAGCAACAATAAGAACAACACTAGCCGTTAGATTTATTTCAGGAGTTTCGCATTTGAAAATCCTTAGCTCGGAAAAGATACTCGCAGCAGCACTCCTACGAGCGGATGGGGTGCAACGATGCAAGGGACTGTCGGGCGAACAACGTTGACTTATCATCATCAAATTGCAAGCGGAAATGGAAAAGGCTTGATGGCTTGGTGGCCCCGGAGTGGGGAAAACTGGCAGGGACAGCAGAATTTTTTCATCGTTGGCGAACGAGGGAAAATGCCAAAGCTCGCAAGCGCAACGAAATCCATCGCCGACGTAATCCAGAATAATCTCGTTCGGAGTCACGGATGAGATGAAAAAAGACGGCGTCGATAATACCGGCGACACTACAATTCGACAGCTCAATTGGGAAGGTGGAGAGTACGTGCCCGCTTGGCGTGACAGTTCAACATTGCTGATCCGCGAGATTACAAGCATTACGCGGGGCTTAAGACGAGGCGCTCAATCAATGATCAACAACTATGTCGGACTCTACCCACTGGATTAGGATCGGCATTACTACATGGGTAAGGGGCTTGCTTAACTTGGTCGATCGCGCAAGGGGAATGAGACCTTGACGTCACGCGTCCAGTCAAAGCAAGATCTTTTTAACGATAGGGTCGTTGCAACATTGCGTTTGATATCTCCGTGGGATCGCAGGACGATAAGGACGGCGATGCGAATCCGCGTGAATTTTGTCGATTTTACGCGTCATTCCTTGGATCGATGTTCCATGTCGATCTTACCGATGCAGTGGACGCGATTGGCCGATAATAATAGGCCAGAAATCGTTTATTAAATAAAGCCTCGACTAGTGCCTTGGGAAATATTGAAATTTTACGTTTCACAGCGTTGGACGACCGAGGATCGATTGATGCACGTGAAAGCCAAAGGGGGAAATAAAATCGACCTGTCCAGTTGGAATTTGTGCGCACGACGATAGGCCTAATGAAACTGTCTGCTTGCATTATTCCTACTTTCTTGGCATAGTAAAAGTGCAATTTCCCATAATAAAATAAAGGCACGATTAATGCTTTATTAAGATGATCGACGATTATCACCTATCCGATGACAAATGGATCTGACTAATTATAGATATATCGAGCGCCACGATCTCCATGCACTCGCTAGGCACGCCATTCTTTACGGTCACGTCCATCAAATGTACACGCGATTTCGAAGCAGCGACACTTCAAAATCTCCGAAATAAATACGAAAAACGAGATCCGATCGAATGATTTATTTATGCATTTATGTATATATCCGCGTGGCGTACGTCGGATGACTTACCGAATATAAAAAGTTTGATCGTGGAAAATGTTGGGTGGCGCCATCTACACACTTCAACAATACCTCATTCCAGTAATTGTCAATTTTTTCAATTTCCTTGCCTCGGTTCCCTCTGCCGCGGAACCGCTCTTTTTTAGGTAGACGCGAACAACCGATGAATACGTTGTCGGACAAATTCTATCATAATTGTCGCATAATCGTACGAGTCAGTTGAAAGAGATGCAATGTCATGAGAATACTTATTAGAATGCGTGAATATTATAATGTTGGATCATGAGTGTTTGCTAGGATGAGAGCAAAAATTGAAATTAAATCACGTCAATTTTTCATAGGCAATTATTATAAAGGCAAGAGAGTCCTGGATACGCGCGTATGTATTATTAGGGGCAGAGTAGGTCGTTCGAACGCGATGTTTTTATGCCTTGCACTTAGCTTTTGTAAATTCTGGGATGACATTGAATATCCGTTGGTAAAAGCATTAATCGACGAAATTAACACGGCATCGCGACACGCGCCACTTTATTCCAACAGCATTGAATAATTCATTCTAAACGATTGTGCATCATCATCATCGTCGTCGTCGTCGTCGTCGTCGTCGTCGTCGTCGTCGTCGTCATAATAATTATTATTATTTGACGGTCTTTTGTTCACTGTCAAGTATTGTCGTATGCCAATCGTATGGTATTCGAAATGGATATAAATTTTAGCTGAGAATAATTTAATAATGATTATTTATTTGAAAATGAACATTTTTAACGACGATAGTTTATCTTGGTTGTTATCTCGCTCTCGTCATTGATAATAATTTTGGTAAATTAATTTGATTATTTTACCGACGGTTGAAAATACGTTGGCCGATAAAACAGATTTTTTGGCTGTCTCGGTATCTTTTTCCTGTATGATAATATTAAAATCGCGCGATACCTTGGCAGATATTGTGAAATATTTTTCCATAGGTAAATATTAATTTTTAAAACCTTATTAGCTTAAAGATAATTTTAATTAATATTCCAAGTGAGCGAGCGCAAACTATTTATACTTAAATGAAAATTCGGAATGAACGGCTCTTTTGCCGTTCTATTTATGCCATGTATTTACGTTCGTATCTTACAAGTCTGTGATCTATGGGCAAATGTATTTTATAGGTTATTCGACGGTAGTATAAACATGAATGTTCTGCGAAAGAAAAAGTCAATTGTTTTTAATTTTGTAATTAAACAAGATTGTGTTCGAAATTATTGTTAAATATTTATTTTATAAAACTTTCAAGTATTTTCAATAATTTAACGCTGCTCGCACATTTCGTCAATTTGTAATGTGAGTATAAATATATTTGTAGGTATTTCCCGCCAAATAATACGACATCTAACTTTGAAATATATTTGATTTTATCAATGATAAATGTAATAATGAATTGTTGTAATAATAATGATAATACAGAATTTTATCGTCCATTCTGTCGAAGAAATAAATTTTTGAAGAATTTACGTTGTCAAATATATGACTTCAATTCTATATAAACAATTTTTTGTAATTTTATAAAAGATAGATTTGTATTTTTGGAATATTAATATGATAGTGATTTATTTTTAATTAAAAGTGATAAAATAGAGAAATGGAGTCGAGTGAGTCTATTGATATTAGTTCAATCGAGTTCACTTTGGAGGATACGTACGAACATTTGAAAGATATAAAAAAGGAAAGAGAATTAGAAATACAGCAATTGATGAATATTATCAAAAACAATGAGATTCGTACATTGGATTCAAACATAACACCCGAAGAAATACGTTATAAAAGAGCAAAATATGTACAATCGCTAGATAAATACGTTAAATTAGAACAGCCCAGAGATCTTCCAATTGTAAATACAGCTGATTTTTATACCAGTGTTCTTAAAGACCTTGAGGATGAAGTTACCACAAGCGAAGAACTCAATGAAGCAGCTGACGAAGAAATTAAAGAATTAGAAAGCGATATAAATTAGTACGTATATTTTTGTGTTCTTATTAAAGTAGCGATATATGAATTTTTACATTTGTTTATATTTTGCATGTATTAATTTTTCTAACTAAATAATGATAATTTACAGTTTAGAGAACCAGATAGTCACATTTAAGCAAATGAAAGAGGCAACTTTGTCTACCGAAGATAATGAAACAACTAATTATAAAGCTGAAATGATTGTAATAAAACGCTTATTTAACGAGGTTAAAAATGATTTGGTAAGTTAATGAAAAAATCTTTAAGATAAACAAGCAAAGTATATTTAAGTCAATATTTATACAGAATTTTATTTGATAGGAAATTGTAGTCGATACGCTATTTCCTGCTAATCATGGCTTCCAAGAATTATTATGCGTGAGTAATAGTATAGAACTTAATTTTAAGTGGATGGACGTTTAATTTCTATATTCATTACTATAATTGTCGATAAAATCGATTGATTCGCAGGTTCTTACGAGAGCTCTATCGAAAGGTGGAGATGATTTGTACATAGATGTTACGCCTGATACTTTAGATTTTATTAACTTTTTGGAAGAAGCGGATATTATTCAATTTCATCCTCATGATAAAACTAAAATTAAACTTATGAATATGTAAATTGTATATCCTAAAGTATGCAAATTAACCTATATTGTATGTAATTTTTATAATTGTAAATATGGATACAAGTATTGTATTAAATTGCATATGTATTTATGTGATAATAATTATTGGTTAGAAAAACATGAAGTTTAAGACTTTGTAAAAGATTTATTTTGATTTTCAAACACATATTGTAGTTTGTATAATTTGTGAATAGATTTAACTAAAAATTAAATAAATTTCAGTTATTTATAGTTATAAGCTACATCGATTACCACATGAAAGGAGCTCGTTCTCTTAAAACTCTAACCCCTATGTGCTCCCATTCCTGTCGACCTATCCAAAGTTCTTGTGCCGACTCTAAACAACTTAAAATTGCTGCGCCCTTCCATGCTGTCATGCCAGGATCGATTTCCTTTGGCATCGTAATAACGTCCATTTGTTCTAAAAGTTGACAAAGTTTTATATATTTTTAGGAACTACACGATGGTAAATTTTGTTTACCTGCTCGATACATGTAGGGAATTTGAAGGGAAATTCGGTTGTGAAGCCACATGCCAATTCCTTGAAATTTCATTCCAGATCCAACGACTAATATGCAACTATACATTTTTCGCTTCAAGTCTTCCGTAGCTAAAGTAATTTTATTTTAATGTTTAATAATACAGTGAATCTAAGTTTGCTACTGTAAATATATATAGAATGGATCTTTGAATCATCCATTCAAATGAGTAAATAAAAATTGATTTCTATTAAAGTTGCCTTTAAATTAAATAAATCAATCTACTACCACATCTAATAAGTAGGGAAATTTATTATGCATAAACGTATATATCTATATATATATATATATATATATATGTAGTGTCATTAGACACGCACACGCACACGCACAAGCGTCTTGTGTATACTAATATTCTACTATATATTAAATAAATATATAAATAAAAATAGATTTAAGAGCCGTGTGCTTAGCGTATAAAAAAAAAGACTTACGACACCGATCGATACTTTGAAGCACAGCATGATCCAGACCAAGAAGCTGCTGCGGACCAACAATAAAATCTCTCGGAGCTTCCAATTCTCTGTTATTCAAAGAAATTGGAGCTGAATCGACATTGTCAACTACGACTTCTTCGTCACCGGGGGCCGATGGTATTGCAGTTTCTTCTTGCAATTCTAAATTTTGCTCTAAATTCTCTTTCATACCTCTTCGCTAATGAAACATTTATTAAAAAATGTTAGAACAATGCCTATCCTTCTCAATTTAATAGCTAAGTTATATACCAATAGTATAATGTTGCAACAATCGCTTTATCTGATACAACTATATGTATTATTAAAAATATTATTACACTTGTTTCTCGCAGATAGTTTTCATCGTGAGGATCTTCAGAATCACCCATCGAGCGTTTTTGTATGTGAACGCAGTGAGCTCCCGTTACCCTAAAGAGCTCTGGCTGAAATAAGCTGAGTGGGGCGATGAGACACTCATCGCCTACCTGCAATTAGAGAATCAAAACGTCTTGACAGGTCCAAGAGATTATATCATTATTATATGCTTGTTACGCTTACCTGAATCGTATAATTTTCAATGGGAAGTTTTGGCTTCTTCACTGGAAAAGTCTTCTCTTGGGAGCCGCAAATGTTCAGATCCACATGGCAAAAGTCTCGTTTTAATTGATCGAGGAGCATCGCGTCGAGGCGACTTGCCGGATCGCAGCTCTTGTAGGGAAAGGCACATTTTTGCAATAACCAGAAGAACGTTTGGGTGATATCGCCGCCACCATAGTCCATTCGAACCCTCGTGTTTCTATGGGATATACCATCTTCGACGCATGATACCGAAGTTTTTTCTTCCCCGACATCCACAACACAGGCATAGCCCAAACCTGCTCCAAAGGTCGCTGCCACATGATCCTGTAGGCAATTTTTAAGTTTTACATTTCTTTTTCTTCGATCAACGCTTTCAGGAATAAAACGCGTCAACCACAAGGGTAATAAAATTTATTAACATAATGTATCTGCTGATTTTAAGTAGTTTAGTGTTTTTCGTTTTTAGTAGATACTTTTAGTTTAGTTTAGTATGTTATTCATTGTCAAATAAATGATGGCAAGTCGTCTGTGAGAAATTATAGGATAGATAGAAATATTTTATCAAGAGCATGCACGATCTCCTTACTCTTAAGATGTTAAAAAATCCAAATATTATTTTATAGAAAATTTGATTTAAAGGACTCGATTAGCCAATGCTACTATATATATTACATGTTTTCTCTTTTTAAGCAAATATGTTTACATTAAAAGAAAAGACGATAAATTAGTGAGTCAGGCTTATTTTAAGCATTTGGATATTAATTTTACAAAATAGCTATAGTTCTTTGAGCTTATAAAATTGGAAGATTTGTTAATAAATTGCTTGAGATTTCAAAGATTTAGAGAAGAAGTAGGATAGAAATGTAGATATTAACGGAACAGTACGACTCGACGTAAATAAGACATGTACAAATTATGTAGAAGTTATTGATGGTACGATTGTATGCGTAGTAATAGTTGAAAAACAGTAAAAACCTGTAGCAAGAAGCATCCTCCAAATCCCATTTCGCATAATAATAACGACGTCAACTCTTTCAAGTACAATCTATGATATATATCTGGAATTATTAAAACCACACGGTAATGCTTCAAATCGCGCAGAGGTATATCCATTTTTTCAGTTAAAACATACTCCCAAATTGTTTTCAAATCGGCAAGAACAGAGCGCAAACTACCTCCAGGGCCGGAATGTACATTCAAATCACCTCTTTTATATGGAAAATGGATATTATAATGATCGTCTGGATTTAACGTTAGAATCTCATCTCCAACGATAACGTCTTGCTCCTTTTTAATCCAATCGAACGACGTCTGTGACTGTATCTCAGGATTAGATCTGCGATTAAAAGCTGCAATTTGCTGAGGAGGTGTGGCGTATCTTCTCCTGCCGTCGGACTGCAGACAGGACTGAAGAGTATGCGATACTTGTAATCTCGACTCTTCCATCGCTTGAGTCAGCTCCTTAGTACGTGGGACCAGAGGAGGCAGATACGAATCCTGATGCACCAATCCATTTGGTCGACGTCTTCTTGCCACGGCATTTAATAGCATATACGGATTTAGATCCGAAGCTCTACCTATACGCAAATTCTTCGATCCTGGATGGATAATAATTATTGTCTGGGCCTGTATTTGCTATTATAAGAAAGAAAAGCCAAGCTGAATGGTTAATCGAAGAAATTTGGCGAATAAGAAAGTAAGTAAGTATAAGTAAGTACACATAAAATACATACTTCGGCACAGGATTCTTGAAAGACTGGCATTTTTGGCATTAACAAACCGTTGAGTTAATTGATTATCTAAGAAGCGACACAGAGTCTCGAAAAGTAATCTCAAAAATTTCTTCGATCATCGATTGCCGCGCTCATGAAAAATCCGAACGTATCATTAACAACGAGCCATCGTCAAATAACCGCGCCCCTCTCGCATTTATCATTATATATCATTCCTTTAGCAAAACAACATTCGCTGTAAATAATCCCTTCCTTCACCATAATAACATTCCACGCCAAGCTTCCTTCAACCACTCATAACCACATTGCGCCCGGCGTACATCGAGCCTAACTTTATCTATAAATTTCAATCCCAGTATCAACTAAAACCACAATCGTGTACAATAAATTCGATATTAATCGACAAAACAGCGCTGAAAGACCACATTGGCTTTTCTCATCGTATTTATCTGCTCGCAGTCGTCGTGTCGCACTCGCGTCCCGTGTTTTTGTCTGAAATTAGCGAACGATCGCCTCGACTCGGATAAAGGTTAATCGATAAATCGATCGCTCCCTCGAGAGAAGTGAGCAGCGCAATGAAAACAGCTGTTCCTCCGCAGCTGTGCGCGCGCGATATTTTCCAACACACGCAGGGCCCCTGCGATCTTGTGGTTGTGCGTTTTTGTGCATTGGTGCGCGTATGATTCAATCGGTTGCCTCGCTTCCTTTCGCGTACGTCGCCTTGGCGTTTTCGAGTACGCGCGAGACGACGACGAGCTTCACGAGGGATTATACCAGAGCCAGGGTCCTCAAGACATATTACCTTCCGCGGCGAATGAGTTATTCAAAATTTAGGCATTTAAATGTTATCGCGAATATTCCGTGGGGAAAATGAAAACGCCGCCGTTAAGAGAAAACGTCAGATTGACACGCTGAAGATCTTTAACGACAAGTAAGTGTGTGTTAAGAAGGTTATTATGTACGCGCCAGGAGACAGCCAGAGATATATAACGATTTCACTTATAATTAACCTATAATATCGGAGGCTCCGCTGTGTGATAATAATTGGGGCGATAATGGATTTTTTTATAGATTGGATTTAATTTTGCTCGTTCGATTAATAGCCGCAGCTCGAGGACAGGACATTTTAAATGTCCTTGATAAGACCTATAGTTTTCAGATATTCGCGTAATATGTCACCCACGAATCTTTTTCGTTTTGGTTTAGTGTATGTAACGTGTACTTTGTCGACATCATAATGAGTTTTCAAATTTTCAAATTTAATGAATTTTACAATGAGTAGTAGTGCGTATTTATTTGCAGGAGAGTAAACAGCAAGATTTTTTATAATGAAGGAATTACCGTTAGGACAAAAGAACCTTGAAATTAAATATATTGCACGACTAATTCCAATAAGTATTTGGAGAGCGACATCAAATCTGTAATTTTATTCCTTTTTTATCGAGTTACGTTAATTATGAATACAATCGTGTGAAAATGCAAACACAAACGCACACATGCGTGCATGATGCGTATGCATATATATATATACATATATATATATATATATATACATGCGCCTGCATATATATATATATATATATATATATATATGCGCATACAGGCACACACACACACACTCGACACATGCATATGTGTCATATATATTTTCATGCACAAAACATTCATTTTTTGAGCTGTAAATAATAATTTCTCCATTAAACACTTAATATTCATGTTCTGCCTAGACGAGTGGTACCAATTATAAAAGACATATTATTTTAGCAATTATTTCAATTAAGTTCTCTAAATTATGATTTTGTTTTTAGTGTTTTAGAATTACGAGAAGATGTCGAGTATCAAGTGCAATTTGATTCCAGAGATAAACGTATGGCTATTATGGTCTCGCTGTCTCCAGAATTTCCACTGGAAAAGCCAGTACTTAGAGTTTCACCTCCAATAATACATAAATGGTGTAACGAACATAGCGAAATTACTAGTGCTCCAGGATTATTAAACGTAACCACCTTTATTTTATAATAATCAAACATAAAACTGTAAAAATAGTGTAATATAATAGTTTTTGTATTCTATAGCAATGAGTTATTTTGCTTAGTAATACAAAAATTCTGTTTCAGTTAAAGAAACTCATGTAAATCCGAGCTAAATATCAATCAACTAACAATATAATATGAATTATAATTTGATACCGTAATATTTTCCAATATATTTATGTGTACATATTATCGATTTATTGATAAGATATTGTATAAGATAAAACTAATCTAGTTGTACAATTTAATTTTCATTTCATATAATTAATTATTATTTTATAACTTCCAATCCAATATTATAGTTTACAGTGCATAGTGATCTTGGGCGTGTTGTACAAGCTATAATACGAGAATTTAGTAAAAATCCACCACAATTTGTAGAAGACAACTCTCCAGTATCAAACATACCACTTAGAGGTATTTAAATCAGCTTATTTCTTTATAAAATTGCTTTATATTTGCATTTATTGCTTTCTTATATTTGTATATTCTTATAGCTTTAAACGAAACATGTGCAAACTAAGAATTGTTAAATTTCAAAACAATTCAAAAATTAAGATACATAAAATAAGATTGCTAATATTGATGTAGAAATAACTTTTCTGTTTGCTTATTATTAATTGTAAATTATTGAGAAAGTAAATTCAAACTTAAGAGATTTATAATAAACTAATGTAACAAATTGATTAAATAAGAAAATGAAATGCAAAAAATGACAAAATTCTTTTTTCCACTTATTTAAATAGATTTAGCTGGAAGAGCGGAAACCACAGGACCTTGCATTGGGATCCTACAATAGTTATTACAACACTTCGTACCAACCGTTCTCTTCGTCTGATGCCACATCAAGCATTTATAATTACAATTACACAACCGCTGAAAATACATATAATGTAAACGATCAATCAAGATCTAAACAATACACTTCAACGGGATCGTATATGCCAAATACGTCAAACTCTGTTCAATTCACCACGACAAATGCTCAACAATATTCAAGTTCTGGCACAAATGCTTATACGAATTTACATTATGTAAACGCTAATGCGGGACCGTCGATGCAAAATCAACAAGTGCAGTACAAGAGCAGTAATACACATTGTTCTGAATTTCCTGAGTTAGATAGTATGACGAACGAGGAGCTAATAAAACTGAGCGAAGATGAGGATAAAATGGACGAATTCTTAGAAAAACATTCAAAATTAAAGGAGATCGACTCTGCAGTCGAAGATACTATTGATTGGGTAGAAAAACTAGCAAGTAAGCCATTTTGAAACCATTTTTATTTTTTACGTTTAATTTAAATCATTGTACTTGAAAATGTACGAATTCAATTATTCTTTTATTTATTGTGAAATAATGTTTTTGTTAATCGTGAAACGTATAACTATTTCGTATTTCCTTCGTTAAAGTTACAAGCAATTGGAGAAAAAAAATTATATTACGTTATCATATTTACCAGGTAAATAGAACGCTAATCTGCAAATTAAAAATCTTATCGTCCAAAGGTTCTGCCAAATAGTAATGAAATTTTCATTTTAATGACTTCTCAGATAATAAACGATTCTTATAATTATTACTATTTTTAGAATTTTACTCATAATTTATATTTATTTATTAATTGATATAAGTGAAAAAAATGTTATTTTGTCTAAAATTTATAATAATCGAATCATTAATCAAGTACTATATGAAGATTAATTACGTAATGCCAACTCATTAATTAATTATATAATAAGCAAGTTATAGTAATCATTAAAGTGGTTAATTTATTTAAAGAATTCTTATACTTGAAATCATAATTAAGAATATATGAAACAGTTATGGCTTTAAATAAAATATCGATTTCCTAATTTGTCTTGCGTATCGGTATCTAATTAAATTATATATTATTTATATTTTGTAAGTGTAATGAACTTTTTATCTAAATGCATGAATTTTATTGGTTTATTGGTTTATTTATAAGGGAGACATATTATTATCTAATAATCAATCTTTGGTAAAGTCTTGTAATTTGGAAGATATATTTATAACGAAATATTTTCAATTGTAATTTGCTAATACAATTATATTTAATTAATAATATAAGATATTATCGATATTGATATAGGGAAATTAATTATTTGTCTTAAGTATAATGCGCAATAACGCGCATGCTTTGGCGAAATTTGTTAAGTATTTATTATTAAAAGTGGTGATTTGATTTTCAGCAATAAATTTGTCCAGGGAGCAGGAAATCCAGGAGGTGCGCGAAGAGGTGGCCGATAGAGTCCAAACGGTCGAAGCTCTAAAGGCTCGTTACGACAGGCTTATCCAGCGCTACAATAAACTATCGGAGGTATTTGCACCAGAGCACATTAGAGATTGTTTAAAAGCAGCCGCGGATGATAGTCAGGAACAAAGTGAGAAGATAGCGCAAGATTTTCTAAATCGTAAGATCGACGTTGAGCGCTTCCTCAGCACGTACGTCGAGTGCAGGAAACTCGGTCAAGCGAGGCGAACCAAGGAAGAGAAGTTGGCGCATCAGCTCAATGAGCTTAAGAGAGCTAACTATTAATCTAATAAATTCTTTTTTGATCGTTTCTTTTCTGTAAAAGACAAAAACAAATCAGGAAAAAGGGAAAGCGTTATTGTACGCGCTTATAACCTGAACCTCCTTTTACTTGTTTGCAAGGACCATTAAGTCATTATTTTCTTTGCTTTGTTTTCTTGTAGATATTGTGAGTTAGAAATAAAAGCTTTAATAAATAATTGTACAATGAAGGACTTCTTAATTGATAATGACCAAAATTGCATTTGTATCATTTTAATTAAGCCAACATTCATAACAGTTTCAATTTATTTTCAAAATTTCGTACTTAATAAACAATCCACGAAAATGTTGTATGATTTTATTTAAATTCAATTAAAAGATTTTATCACCTCAGTTATTAATAGAATTTCAGTTATTCAATTATTTAATTATTAAATTTGAAGAAACGGCGCGAAGCTACAGTAATACGATAAAATAATATAAGTAGAAGAAATTTGAAAACAAGCTTTTCAACGCGTAAAGCCTATTCGTCAATTACCGGTTTCCTTTCAAATTTAAAAAATAATTTACAATTACATAATTTTTTCTTTTTTTTTTTTTTTAATATATAATTAGCACTAAGAATTTTAACAATTAAGAGACTGATATTATTAATCATAATAGTTTTCAAGAAGTTTTCAATGAAGAAAGAGGCTCGTTATTGTACAAATATGAATAAAAATTGTTGTCTTAAAACTCACAAGTATAGATAGATGCAATAGTATATAACAATGAAAGAAATGTCGTTATTGGTCATTGTTTTTTATTCATAGTATATATATATATATATATATATATATATATATATATATATATATATATATATATATATAATATTTATGTCGATGGCAAACAGTGTTCAAGTCGCTTTCTGTTCTATTTTTGGGTGTCATCGATGAAAAACAATTGTTGAATTAAACACACTCATCATTTCTCTATACAATTGCTATACTACTTACTGACTTTTTATTACATAGTTATATTATAGTAAAAGAAATTGTGCATTTAAATTTTACTACGAGATAATTTTGCACTTGCACCAAGGCATTCCAAAAAAAGGAAAAGATTAAGAAATGAAAAAAATATTTTCAGGGAATAAGAATTATATAGTGCTGAATAAAAAAAAAAAAAAAAAAAAAAAAAAAAAAAGAAAAAAGAAATCATTGCTTTAATATAATAAGAATACTAGCGGAGAGTAATAAATATATAAAAGGAAATAAAATGGGTTTTTTCTTTTCTTTTTTCTTTGTTTTTTCTTTCTTTCTTTTTTCCCTGGATGATAATCGAATGGGAGTCAGGAAAAATTTCGCGTAAATAAACTATTTAATTGAAAATTAACGTTGGAAAGTGCAGCGTTCGAACCAGTTTTGCACTCTTAAAAAAAAAAAAAAAATAAATAAAAAAAGAAGAAAAAAAGCAGTTTTCTACTATATTGTAAATAAATTTTAGAAGAAACGGTATACATATTTATGTATAATTAACGTGAGAACTCGCAAACTTCCCTTGCAGTTGAAACAAAACGTAAATATGAGTTATAATTAAATGAGTATCTTCTTTATGGATGTTCCTAATTGTCGTATATATTTCTGCGCTCTAAGATACGGAAATAGAACGATAAGTATAATCGAGATTGTGTTTTTTGAGGTATCAAGGAACTTAATGAAGATAAAGTTTCTTTCTCCGATTTAGTGCAGCTTGTGTATCAATTAAAAAACCAAACTGTTATTTTAAACAATTTGTGAAAAATATAATAGATATTTATAATAATTATGTTAGTATATTTTCTATATAACAATTATTTTATTCGTTAAACTTTTTATAGACATTATTTACAAATATCGACGTCTGTTTTTGTCATGTATAATATTTTGTATTTTATTGGATATTTGAATTATGAAAAATGCTTTCTTATTTATAACAAAGCCTAATGATATTTTATCAACAAATTACTTGATATAAAAAGCATTGTACATACTTAAAATGTCATCTCATAGTTTTCAACTTATATTTTGGTTGTTTAAAAAAAGTTTTTTTTTTTTTTTCTTTCTCTCAATTCTTCATGTTTCAGTTACCCCGAAGTAACACGCAATTCTCTTATCAATAGAAAAGTTTAGATTTATAAGATGAAAAATTATCGATAATACATACGATTTTTTCGTACAGTGTAATAATCGAGGAAACATTTAATTTAATATGGCGTATTTATTAAGCAGGTCGTTTTTGAATTTCAATACTTATAATAAAAAAAGTCTTAATCTTGTTATTAATCCTTAACGACCTATTTTTAACAAAATGCCTTGAACAAATGCTGATTTTACAGATTTCATAAATGGCTTGAATCACAAATTGAAATTGAATTACAAATGTAATTTTTATTACGAGCACCAAAACCATTGTGAAATTGTAAAAATTGTAAATTTTTTTTACAAAATTATTGTCCAATCGTATTTTCAATACAATGAAGTCCATTAATAATACAAACAACAATTTGCTATTCTATTGTTTTATTAAGAATTTTTTTGATCTTTTAAATTGATGGATTTTTTTTTTTTTTTTTTTTTTTTTTTTTTTTTTTTTTTTTTTATTAATATATTGGCAACAAGTAGCACCAATTTTGATTATTATACTTGAGGATTACATTATTTATTTATCAATAAACTGAAGTATTTGTTTAAAGCTAGCTTATATTATCGGTGACAATTAGTTTGAATTAATCTAGTAACACTCAAATAGTCCTATAACATTCAAATTCGTTAAAGCAAGAAATTATTTAATTAAAAATTATTGCTTTATCGTGTAATTAAAAAAATTGTCCCTATTTTAAATTAATAAACTACATTATTAAAAGATAATAATTAATAAGCTACATGTAACTGTTGAATTTTTTAATTAAAAAAAAAAAAAGAATTCGCTGATATCTAACGGAGATCTGCTTAAGAGAAAAAAAAGGAAGAAGAAGAATAATGGAGATATATATTTGTAATTATACCTAGGCTTTCGTGATTCATAATGTTCATTTAATGCCAGAAAAAGTAGACAATTAGCTTTTCCTTATCATAATAAATGCAGTTCGTATTTATTAATGTTTATATTTTTGGTAAGATAAAGTATTTTTATGCGTTAATAAAAAGTAAAAAAAAAAAAAAAAAACAAAAAAAAGCACGGATATCCCAGTTACATTGGAAAAGTTTAAGAAATTATTTATCGAATATATAATTATTCACTGAAAAGAATAAGAAAAATGCTTAATGAACAACCTCGATTAATTTATAAAAATGTGAGCTTTGTTCGATGTTCGATATACATATACATTCTTAAGACATTAGCACTGCCAAGAAAAATATCATTCAAATATCTACTATCCGCATTTTAAAATTATTCTCCTTTTCAGAACGACGCGTTAATTATATTAAAAATTATATGGAAAAGACGAGCTTATTACGATAAAAAATCACCACATATTTTATAAAGTGATTTTTAGGCAGTGATTCCATTACCCGAAATTTAAATCCAGACGTAAAATATTCAACAAGACAGACAAATTTTCGAGCTCGCGCATTATAATGCTGAAATTCTATTTAGAGCCTGGAATAAGGACATCCTGGGAGGATTTCAAAGCGCATTAAGCTCAAGGGTCTACGAAGGAGATCATAATGTAACGGGTGCCCCTGGTGACCTTGAGGCCTTCGTGATAGTGAGTCAATCTTCCCGGGTGCATGAGCATCCAGCCGGGCTTGGTGTCCGTGACCGAGCAGTTATAGCGAATAAATCGGCAGCCGCCGCCCTCGTAGTCCTCGCCGACCTTGTTCAAGGCGATGTTGATCGTGAAGGTGGAGCTGTCGTGGTGCGGTTTGAGGCTCGGTTGCTCGTCGGGTCGGTAGCGGACGACGAAGTTCATTAGGGAACGCGGTGGCTGCGAATTAGTACAAATAATCAGAGTTTAATACCTGCAGGTTTACAATTAATTACCAGTCTACGCGATCCTCCACCTTAACTAACTTTTATCGTCAGATTATTTCTCATTGCAAGCGATAGTGCAAAATCGGTAATTTTATATTGATAGTCTCGTCGAGGAGCATAAATGGAATTATAGAATAAATTTCATAAATGGAAGCATAAAAATTACTCTTTTATTATGTATGAAAATGAATAAAATGTAGCATGAAATTGAAAGAATTGACGATGAAACATAAGGAATAAAAATATGAATAATAAATTTCTAATTGAAGATATTGTTGCGTAATTTACATTGAGAAGATTGATTGACTTTTACACGAATGACTGACGTTAAGTAAGCTTACATTCGATTATTCGAGCCAAAAAATCTTTATACATAAACCATTATCCAGATTTAATATCTAACCATTTCGTTTAAAGTAATGTGTTTGCAATGTGCGTGCATTTAAATTTTACAATAATATAAGTACTTTGTTATAATATAATCCCCTGTCTATCTATCAAAATTGTAGATAGAAATAATCAATGACTGTTTGTCATTAATCAAAAACAATCAAAATGTATATAAATAATACTTTTGAAATAAGCTTTTCAAAACACAAATTACTGTGAAAATAGAAATTTTTAAGTAATCGGTGTTTCAACAAATTGAACGATTATGTAAATATATATATACACACACAACATGCGTTATTTACTATTTATTAAAGTTAGAGAATACTCATTATGTTATAAATAAAGAATTAGTTTGATTAAATTATCCATGTACAAAGACACAACATTGTTAATTTAATTTTATTTCAATTATTTTATTAAACTTTTGAATTATATTATAACATTGTGGTTCATTTATAATAAAAAACTTTCAAAATTTTTCATCGAATACAGATAATTGGACATCAATGAATAATATTTGTTCATTTGTACATTTGTTCATCAATGAATAATATTTGTTTCAATTTTATAATTTATTTTTATAATTATATTTTTAACACAAAAATAATTATGATAACATTTAACGATTAAAAACTATTATTAAACGCTTATTAATAGTGTAAATAAATGGAATTCGAAAGTGTGTTATTATAATTTCTTACGAAAATTCTTGTAATACGAAAGAATTATTTATTTATTTTTTTTTTTTTTTTTTTTTTTTTTTTTTTTTTTGTAAAAGATAAAATAAATATTTAAATGCAATGAATATTGTATGAGATATCGTTATTTGTAATAAATTAATAAGTGTGAAGTAAAAGTACTTTCAATTTATATGTATTAATTTACTAATCTTTATATGAAAGAGAATGTTATCTTTTATTACAAGCATATTCCTTGAATTTATTGGAAGATTTTTAAATTTTGAGTCAATATTTTATGTGAGTATAAATATGATAATAAAAGGAACGATGTTTTATGTTTTGTGGAGGAAGACTCGATAAAGAGGCACATCCATTAATGTACTCGGCTCGCAGTCGAAGCGAGATCCTTCGTTTTCCCTTCGTCGCAATTTTGTTATCGAGTCGTCCTCATATCATAATTATAGCGTCGAATGAAATGGCCCTGCTTACGTTGTGTAGGTGATAGTAATACATTATACATTGTGCATAGATTTAGTGCTGGTCAATTGAAAAGGATCGATCGCCGTATAAATAATTGCAATGTGTGATTAGTTGGTAGAATAAATTTGAATCGAAGGGAATTTCAAATTAGATGCAACATTAATTAAATAAAAATTTTCATAACTCACACCTTTATTTATACGAACATTTTTATCATTTTTGTTTTTTTGTTTTTTTGTTTTCATTCCCTCTAAGCTTTTGCCAATTTACCGTAAAGTCATATTGTGCTAATGCCGCGTGCTTGAAAACCAAATTACCACTACTAATTTTCAATAATTACCATAATTGCCATAATGCGTGACCTTGTAGCAATGTAATTTCCTTTACAAAAATTAAATATACAAAGGGAAGAAATATTTAACGATGAATTCTTCTTTACCATTTAATAACCACTGATGTATACACTGTATATGCGGATGCACATGTATGTGTATCGTTTTTTTCTTAATATATATTAATATTGTGCAGGCATTAAGAGTATATAAATTATTTATTTATTCATTCGACGTTAAAATAGGACGTAGATTGTAATTGATAAAAACAAGACAATTAATCGTAAAAATTGACTGAAAATATAAATTTGAAGGATACGTGGAAATGGAAAATAGTAATAATTTATTGATATTCAATCAAATTCAATTGCAAATGAAACGGCAATCGCTTGCAAAAGATTCGGTAAAGTTAAAGTTGCCAAATGCCTGGATAGTTTGGTGTTAATGGATAAAGTCAGCGTAACGAGAGAGTAATTCCGAAAGTAAAATAATATTATATCGTCTAGTGTCAAGTACACATTTAGAATTACGTATATGCATCGACTGACGTGTGGAGCGGTATTCGCGTCGAAAAGCTTTTATTGAATCCCGAAAAGTCGAATTATACAAAATGCTTAGCTACTTAAGAATCAAACGAATGAACGGCAAAGGAAATCGATTATAAATTTTTTTTATTTTTTTTTTTTTTTTTTTTTTTTTTTTTTTTTTATAATTACAAATGAACGTCAATGGCTTTGGATTAGTATAAAATGACGCTTATCTGGTCAATTGTGTATTATGAGTTGGATAATGATGCAGAAATGGGCAAATTGGCGAGTAGAGGGACTAGATGTTAAAAATATTAAGAAAGTAGAAAATAATATCAAGTGAGGCAAGTATATTATTGTATGAAAAAGATCCTATCAATAAATATTTCTACCCCGTATTGTATATTTAATGTATCGTTTAACAAAATAATTCTCATAATCAATCGAGCCTTTTACATTACGCTTACGTAGTCGTAATATCCCGTGAAAACATCTCGCTGTAATGGATGCACATAGACTCTAAGAAATTCAAGCCAGGACTCGTCGAGACCTACTTGTGTCATATGTATGTCGCGCGTCGGTACAGCTTCGTAGCCATTTTCGAGCCGCGGGTCCTATAAACCAGGGGCAAAAAGAAAAAACGGGGATAAGTCATGCTGGTTTCAAAAAATACATCTTACGTCATGAAAGTAGCCGAGAAAGACGAGCTCCTGGAGCGGTCGAACGTAATTTCGCAGCACGAAGAGCCAGTGGGAATCAAGGCCAACCTGGTTCATATGTATGTCCCGTGTTGGCACATTCTCATAGCCATCGGACAGCCTTGGATCCTGTTTTTGTTTTTTTTTTTTTTCAAAATTTCCAGATTTTTTTGGTAAAGGTCGATTATGGACGTCCGAACGTCGCTGTTTCAATCGATCCGAATTTTTATGCGTCGTTCGCAATAGATTTTTATTCGTTCGATGACTTTGTTAAAATGACTGATTATTAATATTAGCTTACATGATCATAGCAATTTTTTTTTTCAATACAATAATTATACAATGACATTGTTGTATTTCATTACTTTTTCATCTCTTGAAATCATAACGTGAAAAAGAAATAAAAAGCAAACGGAAGTTCGGAATGACTATTGCCGTCGCCTTACTTATTAATTATTTCACAAATGTTTGATGAAAAGTAGTAGTCGATAATTGTAATCATTGTTACAAAGCTAAATTGTTAACGATCAAAAATTTGCAAACGATTAAAAAGATGAATGGATAAAAAATTACAATCTCGTTAACGAGATATTGTTATAATCCGTAAAAAAAAAAAGAAAGAAAAAGAAAAAAAAAAAGAAAGAAATGCTTTTTTCACATAGAGAAAAAGTCTTACTAAAAAATGATAATTTAAAAATTTTCTATAATTAAAAAAATTTGGTGATATTTATCAAGAGCATTGATTTCCTTGGATCCTGTTTTTGTTTTATTTTTTTTTTATTTTATTTTATTTTTTTTTTTTTTTTTTTTTTTTGATCGATTGAGAGGTCATTGAGTGAAAAACAAATTTATTTAAGATTTCGATTTACTTACGTAATTTGAGCCGTCCGACCATTTTCCATAAGTCTCCATAATATCGACAAAATCCTTACAGAATCTCTCCGTGAAAATTGGAAACCAGTAGACATCTGGACAAGGCTAAAGAGTCGCTTAAATTTTAGAAATGAAATCGTAAATTCAGATCGAATATATAATGTCGAGCCCAAGCATTTTGAAAAAATATGCATTTTTGAAGCTTTATTAAAGCATTATTCGCTCATCAATCCATCCGCTTTCACGGATATGGCATTATTCAATGTTTTGCTCCCACTCCACTGGTACGCATCCATTGTTATCATTATTTATTATTATTTTTCATTGCGCCTGCGAGTGCCGCTTTCAAGCTCGCGCGGGCACAACGCGCGTTAGGCAGTTTGAAATTTTCCCAAACTCTGGGAGTTTCGACATTTGGAATTGGCCGAAAGGCAAGATGGACTCTTACCTGAATGGGGACGCTCTTTGGCTTGAAATTCTCGGAGTAGTTTACGTGTATATATCTCCTTTCCCAATCCAATTTATTATCGAAGAGCTGGTACAAGTCGGGATTCGTGAGTGACGTGTTGAAATGATCGAGGGTCACGAGATGGCCAAAGTCCAGCCGATTGGTAACGTACATGAAAATGTCCCTGCGTCGATTGGCGTAAGCAAACGCCATGTCCGGGTCAAGGTCGGCTTCCTCGTACGAAGGTCTCGTGGCTTTGTTGATTAGGAGGCTGGCGTTCACCAGGTAGCAGCTGCTGATGAATGGCACGTTCCAGAGGCCTCTAACAGATCACGAGAGACAGTTGTTTTACGCGCGCCATTTTCTCATTTCGACGTCGGATTTTCTTAGCCACATAATTTTTTCAATTATATGAGAGAATAATAAAAAAAAAAAAACAATTTTTCCTAGTGTCTATAACGAGTCTATAACGAGACCATGAACTAGTAAGCTACGACCATGATAATTGACAATTGATTTTTCACAATTGATAACGCATCCTTTCGATGTCATCGTTTGCGTACTTTTAGTCTCTAAAAGTCTGGATTAAGTTAGTAAACGAGCGTCTTCGAGCAAAATTCTCGTTGAGGAATTCAGATCAAGATACACATTAACAAATATCCTTTGCTGATACTAGCGGAAATTAGTGCCAAGCACTTATTTGCCATTGACATGTAAAGAAAGAAATTGAAGGCCCACCGTGTGTGTCCGGGATGAGATGGAGGAGGAGGAGGAGGAGGGAGTAGGTGGGGCGAGAGGGTGTTAGTGGGGCTTAGGAGAGCGAAAGCAGCGTTAGTCGACGAGGAGCGTAGTGGCCCTCGATGGAAGCCAGAGGTCATCGCTTAAAGCGCGCGAGGGTTTCGGTTACTTTGCGCCGCGTCGTCATCGAGCGCGTTAGAGGCAATCGGTCGCGCATAATTATCCAATTGAGTGCCGTAACTTTATCTCTATCGCTCTCCCCATTAGCCCGATGGTGGCGTTCCCCGCCTCGCCGATGGCATTTCCTACGCGTCTTGCTTGCTCTTTTCCTTTTTGTTCCTGCGCGGGGGCACGACTGCCCAGGGGATGTTGGCCGAGGCTCAGTCGCGCTTGCCCCGCGAGACCGAGTACGCGTGGGCTCGACGACGTTGTCCGCCTCCCGGGAGATTATACCTAAGGGATTACGAGTGTGCGCTCGGTGCGTAAGTGTGCTCGTTGATCATCGGTTCACCTGGTGGTTGTCTAATGCTCGACGGCGAGTTGATTTTTGCCCCGGTCAACCTATCACCGTCGCCCTAATCTATCCCGTTAAATGCGCGTGCGGCGTACGTCGTGCGGATTTTCATTCGTCCGTCTTGCCGCAAGAGGATAATTGCGCGTTGTTGCCGATTGAGATCCGATACATCGATCTCCCCACTATTTTATTAAACTCGTTAGTGGCGTTTGGGGTGCCTCGATATTACGTAGTCGTCGTCAATCACGTAGTTTCTCCGTCTAGTCGCTGTGTAGCGTCAATAAACACGCGCGACACTTTGTTGGAATTTGCAATGATTTTGTAATAAGAATCGAAGGCATTGGAAAGCTTCCGATTGGATATCGTGATGATTTTGTGCTGCTCGTAATAGATAGATCTTAGCCATACAGGCGTAGTAATGATAATCGTCGAGTCAGTGTGGGGGGAGCACATTGAGAGATGCATCGTTCGTTGTGGTAGACAAAAGTTTGGCAGTTAAGTAACTGAATCAGCAGAAGCTACTTACAAGCTGACTGACTGTTCGAGTCGCGACATTGAATGGAACAACGAAATTAATGAAATAAGGGGCGAATCCGAATTAGAAAAAGGTAAAGTTTTCGAAAGGTTACGCGTTGCCAAAAGTTTGGTCAAAAATCAACGGCGGTTGATCTATTCGTGGAGAAGCTACTGGGGCTAGAATACGAGAGTCGACGAAACGTTTAATAGAGAGAAGCTACCAGGCTAGTCGGACTGTTGTTTTTTCAACGTCATGTTTCTCGCTTCAAGGTCAAATGAAGAGGAGCTACTATTGGCCGGTACTATTGCTGCTGGCGGGTATGGCGTTGGTCCTGGTAACGAGCGAGGCGGCTAAGGGCGGAGGTGGTGGTCGTGGTCGAGGCAGAGGTGGTCGGGGACGGGTCTACGGATCGCGCATACCGATACTTATACCAAATCGCAATCCTGGCGCTATAAACTACTACGAGAATAAGGACGTAAGTCTCATTGAGGTCGTGGCATTTTATAAGCTTCAAGAGGTCAGGTCTTGGTACGGCTGCCATTTCCTATGAAAAAAAAAAAAAAAAAAAATAAAAAAAATTTAATGAATAATGCGCTATTTACATTATTAAACGGATTCGTTTATTTATCCTTTCAACGAAACTTTATTCAAATATACGTTGATAGCTATGCACTTATGACTTTTAATTCATCCATCACTCGTAAGATAAATTGTAACGAATCAAAATATCAGGATATAAACTATTATTATTAATGACCATTATGAAGTTCATTTATTTTGATACTACTCTCTCACGAGATTACGTTCAATTATTTTAGTAGCTTCAAAAGGGCTTGACTAACCGAAACAAAACGCTTTTCATTATGATATTAAATGACATTAATGTCCCTTTAGGGTGCGAAAATAACAAAAGCATCACATTTCGAATTGGATTACATGCTTGGAAGAAAAATTACATTTTTTTGCATGGCTACTGGGATTCCCAGACCGGAAATCACGTGGTTCAAGGATGGGGTCGAGCTTTATCACCATAAGTTTTTCCAGGTAATGCTATTTAAATATCAGTTTAACGAGCAAGTATTTTATAATGATCTTGCATATTTCGGATAAACCTAAATAAATAATTAAATAAATAAACAAAGTGTATAGATTTGTTAAGGCAATATGTATTATATTTATATCTATAATTTACTGACATTGCACCAAGATGTATTAATTTAATAAAAAATATCATTCGATCGCATTCGGTACTCGATACCTCGATCGTAAATACGATGAATTTACGATAATCGAGATTAAAGAGATAATTAAGAAGGAAAATGTAATTTGAGTGCAGGTGCATGAGTGGCCCATCGGTAACGACACCATGAAATCAAAAATGGAAATTGATCCGGCAACTCAAAAGGATGCTGGATATTACGAGTGCCAAGCGGATAATCAGTACGCTGTAGATCGTCGTGGATTTCGGACAGATTATGTTATGATTTCGTATTAGATCTAATTGACTTTTATGCGTCCCAACCCAGCGACACACTTTCATTAAATCTTTTATTCCGTTCAACAATTTAGTCATATCTTCTCTAAATGTCTTGGAGTATAATAATAATTAGTTGCCCGAATACAACCGAGTGTATTTTCAAATGTACTTAGGTTAGATTAAAGTGGCCGAATTTTTTCACGTGACAAAGTATATTTACAAATTGACAATGACTTTTCATGCAATAAGAGCATAATCTATTTAACCGTAGGCTTACACTCATTTTAATAGATTTTCAGTGAAAGTTTAGTCAAAGAAATTTAGAGAATACACACTCAATTATTTGTAGTTGATCATTAAAAAAAAGTCCGTTTACAATTTATAAATGTGTCTGTGTGTGCGCATATATATATATATATATATATACTTGCATTTTGCATTTTGCATTTTAATTATTAGTAGCGTCGATTATTATAAAATTTTATTTATGTAAAAATTATATATAAAGCTTTTATAAACATAAAAACTTCTCAATAAGCTAATAAATAAAATTTTTATATTCAATTATTCTGCATAATGGTTGAGTTTTTCACCATCATTTCAATAAGGTTGACAATACACTCCAAGAAATTTTTAGAATATACAAGACTGTGATTACTGATCGATAATTTCAATGCTTAATTAGAGCAAGAAATAGAGTAATCGAATGATGTAAACAATTATTCATTTTTATTTAATTTTATAGCGAAATAATTTTAATATTTTTTTTTTTTTTTTTTTTTTTTTTTTTAGAATTATATAAAAAAATGTGTAGATTTTCGAATTAAATTCTTGTGCCAAACCTAAAAAAATACATTATCAAACCATGCAAAAAGTAATACAGTAATTATTATTCTTCCAATTACACGTTCATTTAGAATTTAGTAGACAACATTTTTTACCGATTTTTATTTCTTCATTTTATTATGAATTAATGTGAATTAATGCATTCAATAATTGTACGCAAATGTTTTTGAATGATTAAATATACGAAATTTTTAGATTCGAATGAAAATATTGTTGAGCGTCAAGTTTATCGACTCATTATTCACCACTGATATGCATTTTTTTCTCCTAAAATGCCTAAAACTACTTATTTCGTAAGCAATAATGGGCTATTGAAATGTTTGAATAGTGTAAGAAATTAATAACAATGTATGTTAAATATATATGTTGAGAAGAAATTTTCTCCAACTCTATACGAATGCGAATAATTGACTTGGGAGATAATTATTCTATAATTAAAATTTGAATTTCAAATATTTCCTAATACACTCTTTTTTTACACAAATTTTGAAAAATGTGTATTTTAATATATTTAAACATATTGTATATTTATTATTGCACTTTTGTTTTTTTTTTTCAATATAAAGTAAAATATTACAAGGAGACAAAACTATTATGGACGATGTACTAATGCTATGATATTTTCTAATTTTAGATGAAAATAGAATTTATAAGTATTGCCATTTGTACGCTATGCAAGATTTTTCTATGCAAGATGAAGAAATTTGTGGTATATGACAATTGTCAATCGTATAATATTAGACTTAGTAGGTAAATATATATATATATATATATATATATATATAAACATAAGATTCGTTCTTCACTTCATTATGTACAAATAAGTAATATTCAAATCATTGTGAGCACGAGAATTTGTCAGGTGGTAATTATTCCATGTAATGTAACATCTATAAAGGCATTTACGCGTATGTGTATACGTTCTTTAATACTTTTTTAATTACGTTATTTAATAATAATAGATAATGTTTGTAAATACGATTAAATTGCATAGTATATTAAGATGAGTTTTTTATATTGAAATATAGTATACCGACTGTCCACTTTAAATCTTTAAATCCGAAAATTAATATGTTCAAGGGGCTAATTCGTTTATTACTGTAAATTGAAATATTAATTAATTTTGTTTTATTTTTACTTCTTAGCATCTCATTTCTGCCCTTTATATTTAGAGTTACTTTACTCAACCGAATTTAATTAAAATAATTTCTTCTTATACATTGAGGCAATTCATATTTTAAACGAATATAATGTTTTTCATTAATAAATTAATTGTTTAACTGAAAAGATATACATTTTAATTTAAGGATACGAAATATTTGATAGATACAGAAAAAGTATCCATTATTGTACTATTATTATTATTATTATTACTATTACTATTATTATTATTGTGCTTTTTATTATTGATTTGTCTATAATAAGATGGTGAATAAAATAATTATTGACTACGCAGGTGTGATAGATGGTTAATAAATATCAATTTGAAGATACGTTTTGTTTTTGTAAGAGAATTTCAATAGATGGAATAGAAAAAAGTATAATTGTAAAATTGTGTATTATTTCTCCATTCTAGTCTCTCTCTCTCTCTCTCTCTCTCTCTCTCTCTCTCTCTCTCGTTCTCTATGTATATATATATATATATATATATATATAATTATTTAAATATATATTATATATACTATATGTATATATAATAACTCTTCAACTTTGTCGCTCTTTCTCAATGCGAGTTCAAATCCTACGATCATTAAATAACTTTGAGTACGGAGTGAAGTTTCCACTCCATAAGTGTGGGTCAGGTTCATTGGGCGCACAATTGCCCTCGTCCATATTACGGATATGCAAGCACTCGTCGATGCAGGCGGTCATAGGACAGCGGCGTGCATTATATTACTTAGAGTTGCAAGGTTCTCTCTGTCTCTATTTCTCTATAACTTCGTCGCGCGTAATAGATAGGCCAGGACTATTAGGGGAGTAGCGGCTAGACGACGGGAGCCATCAGTTACAGTGGAGTTACAGTGGAGTTCCGTGTCGTTGATGATACTGTGGAAGCGTCGATAGTACATCACCAATACTCGCACGTTAAATACACAAGTAAGCCGCTATCAATACTTTGGTGCGTGCGATGTCCATTGCTTATTATCGAGCCTGGCGACAGGTAATGGATTTGTGTGGCCCATTTCCACGGGATCGGGAGATGCCAGTGTTCGTCGGTAGTTTAAGTGATTGACGAACAGTACAGTGCCTTTCACGATCATTCGCACGAATTTTATCTTCTTTTTCTCAATCGAACTCCCAATCATTTGAGCATTCGCCTATCTCGTTACTTCACCATATTATAATTCAAATACTTTTCAATACTGCGATTCTCCGTTTTTATTGAACGAAGCGATCCAATAAAAAACAAAAAAAAACAAAACAACAAAAAACAAACAAAAACATAAATCGTAAAGAAAATATTGCACGAGATCCATTTAAATGTCCATTTATCGATACTGATATTCGGCTCTAAAGATTACGAAAATTCGTCCAAGGAACAAGAATAACAAAGACAAAGAGCTGACTTTGGAGAGAAACATAATTGACACGAAGGGAATTAGAGTTTTGAATAATCCCTAAGCTTGTTGAATTTTTTTCAATTCGAATTAACTATTTAAAATAAAAATCCTCATAGAACACTGTAATATAAGAAAGTGCGGCAAGCTCGAAAGTAAGTAAGTTATTAGTTTTGAAATGACAAGTGTAATGTTAAACGAATGAAAATGAAAATCAGTGATAATAGTGGCAATAATAATAATAATAATTATGGAAGCGTATTCGAATGTTCTATAAATTAAGTTATGCTTTAATGAATTGTTAGCATTTCATGAGCATAGTTGCTTTTATGTTAGTGAACCGGTTAAACTTGGAATACATTTGCATTACTTTAACATTTGTATTTACATCTTAATTGGTTTAAAAGTGTAATATAAACGTGTCGAGATAGAATAATAAAAAGACTTATGCATAATAAAGATGTTGCGGTACATTTGTTTTATACTGCTTTTATTTATTTATTTATTATTGTTTTTTTTTTTTTTTTAATTGAAACTTATGAAGTATTAGACTTATAAATAACTAACTTATGAAGGCTAATCATTGTTATAATTATCATAAATGTAAATGCATTGTTATCACATAACGAAGAATATTATGAAACCATATATATATAATCATAATTGATAAGAATATGTAAGCATTGCACATATCGGATTGGAGATAAAAAAAAAAAGTGATTTAATTTTTACTTTAATATCGTTGTTATTATTTTTATTTATATATTTATTTATTTATTTTTGTTTTGTCTTGATAATTTAAAGCTACGACATGCCATTGATTGGATTAATATTTATTTATTTAATACGGTAATTAGGTAATCGCTGAGGCAGTGATTCAAATGGATACGAACTCAATTATGTTTCCTTAATGCCAACATGTCAATAATTCACAAATATTTATTTCTCAAATGAAGGAAATAGATTGTAAATTATCGATGTATTAAATGATTATTTTAACGAGGTTTTTCTTTTTAAGGTAATCACGCGTGCTCTTGTTAATCTTAAACAACTATCAAGTCCTCGTACTTTCTTCCATTATTTTTTCTTAACATGAAATTACAATGAATTATTTTTCGTGCCATTAGATTTATGTGTTTGGTTGTAATAAATGTGCACAGTTGCCCTTGCAGGAGTATAAAATGTCAGAACGAAGGATGATGGCTTGTTTGATGATCATGGGACTGCTGATGCTGTTCTGCTGTCATGAGATTTTTGCCAGACGAGGTAGGGCTAGGAGTAGGAGCAAGTCGAGGGTGCAAATCGGCCTACCTATCACTGGAAAATATCGCGATCCCGAAAGTGACCAATACTACAATAATCAGCACGTAAGCATTGGGCGTGATTATCACGTTCGTTTTGCGCAAGCAAGCCTTAAGGCTCTTTTATCCATTTCTCTTTCTAATTCTCACGCTAATAGATTAAAATCTTCAATTTCACATTATAGACCTATTGTATTTGTCTTTAATAGTCTACTAATACACGATACTCTCCTTAATAGCGGCGCAATACTTCACAAAAGCTTAAAAATGTATTGTAAGATATATTCCAAACGAGACTGCGCTTAACATTTGAATATTTATATTAAAACGTAATTAACTATCGTCGGTAAAAGGTTATTTAAAATAAATAAAGCGCATCCTTCTACATCTTCTCATCTGGAATTACAATTTTCTTGCTGCGGCCAAATCTCAAATCTCTCCTTATTCCTTCCTTTCTCCCAAATGAAAAGAAAAATGGAAAAGAAAAAGCAACGTATCGAGCCGAACTGTGAAAAGAGCGAGGCTGCGAGGCTGCGAGGCCGATCGAATCGTTGATTATCAGATCTAATTTCAATTATTTGTAATAATGCCACAGGGGGCCAAAATTTTACTAGCTTCGCACTTTGATTTGGAGTACGTTCTTGGCCACAAGATAGCTTTCCTGTGCGTCGCCCGAGGTACCCCCCGACCCCACATCACCTGGTACAAAGACGGCAACGAAATATACACCCACCTATACTTGCACGTACGTGTCAACGCTCCACTTTCTTTTGCTTAAGCGACCGAATAAGTCGCGACGAGAAGCGATAATTCACGAGCAATTGCAATTGCTTTAAGGTGCACGAGTGGCAGATGGGCAAGGATAAGGTAAAATCGAAGCTCGAAATCGATCCAGCGACGCAAATGGACGCCGGCGTTTACGAATGCACAGCCGATAATATGTACAGTATCGACCGGAGATCCTTCAAGACTGACTTCTCCATTGCCTTCGATTAACCCTTACATTGCATAGATTTATAACGATCAAACATCTTATTGCAAAAAGGCTCTCTCTCTCTCTCTCTCTCTCTAACTCTCTAACTCTATCTCTATCTCTATCTCTATATATATCTCTCTCTCTCTCTCTCTGTCTTTGTTACGTCATTTATTTGTATTGTTTGAAGCTCAACTGTATCTTTCGATTTGCTCAATGAAAACCAATATCTGTTGTAATAGAATGATGGCAGAATAATTTGATCAACTGCATTTCACTTATTTGGTTATTTCGATTTTAATTTATACGTATATATTTACTTATTGAAAGAAAAAAAAAACTAAAAAAAATTTAATAAATGGCACTTGTGAATATTTACGAAGATTATTCTATTTTGTTTCTTGAGAAGAGACGTCGCCGACATAGCTTTACCAGCGGATTTTTGAAATTATCATGCGACTTTGTATTTGAATTTAAGTTGACAGGAATTGGTGGAACTGACCTTTTTCTCGACTTTACGGACTTGAAGATATTTTTATTTTTGTTTTATTTTATTTAAAAATTGCCTCCTCCAAGTCTTGCTGGACAAATCGCTTTAATATATATAATATTAAAAAAAATATTTTTAAATAAAAAAGCAATAGATTACAAGCTACCAATAAATGATAATTAGCTCTTGTACAACATTAAGCTGAGCTTGCAAGCAGTTTATGTATAATTTGCGATGTTCTAAGTAAACTCGACCACTCGTCGTAACAAACATCCTAATTATTTCGACCGAGTGCGGAATAACGATTCCCGTTAACAAATATATTACCTTCTTTCGTTGTGAATGATTTCCATGTAGTCGGTGCTGCGCGCGTAAAATCCATCGTCGGTTATGGCGCCCCAGAAGTTACTCCATGCTTTGTGTGGTCTGACCAATAATGGCGCCACGATTCCCCGCTGCTGTTCCACTAAGAGCTTGAACGTGTTATGATTGTCGAGGTGTGCCTCCGAATCAATGGAAACGTAGCCGGAACACTTGATAGAGAGGCAATAGTCTCTGGGCAAATTAATTAATTCTTCGTTAATTAGCCGTTTAAGAAAATAATTTGGGTAGTTTGGTGGCGGATATCATCGGCAATTACGACGATCGATTTAGTGTTAATTAATGCTCATTCGTTAATTTATACACGAGAAAACTTTTTTCTTTTTATCAGCTGGATGCCGTTTGGCTGCTAAAGACTTTGTTAATTAAATAACCGAATACCATAAGATTCGTATACGAAGCAAGCATAGATTTCAATTCCTAGTTGGTATGCGAAAAATACAGAAAATCACACGATCAATGTATATTTATATAAAAAGAGCTATCTGTTGATTAATGATTTAGAATAAAAAAAAAAACAAAAAACAAAAAAAAAAACAAAAAAAAAAGCAAAAAACAAAACAAAAAAAAAACAAAAAAAAACAATAAATAAATAAATAAATAAATAAGCAAAAGTTGGAGCATTACATGGCCAAATTGCGGGCCGAGACCTCGTCAATCTCGTCCTCTGGTCTAATCTGCTTAAAACCCTTATACTCCCGCCCGTTCTCCTCGATGAAACTTTGCATAAATTCATCGTGGTACTGCACGCCATTATGCACAAAGAGATGAAGTCGCCGCTTCGGATAAACTTGATTCAAAATATTCTGCAAGAATTCCTCGAGGAAAGCCGTGGGCTTCTCGATGAATACGGCAACGAGGAGCTTAGGGAACTTGTTGGGCTCGAGATCGTTGCTCAGCTCGATCGTCCTGTCCCAGCAGCCGAGGCAACCCTCCTCGAGACTCCAAGATTGGGCCACGTAATTTCCCAATGCTCCCTCCGTTACCGTGCACTATTAACGGCACTGTGTTGTAAGCCGTGTTTTGTATGTAGGCGTCGTTACCCTTGAACCGCAGCTCGATGTCGTCTAAAAATTATCGATATCGTCGATGCCGTGACGCAAGCGTCTCGATTTAATAATCTTAGAGCTAAGTACATCAAGACATTGTAATATTTGACGATTAAGGGAATTTTGATTCCGAGCACTTTGCCGACAAATTGTTGATTAATCGTCGAGTTTTTCGTTCGCGTGCTCGATCCTTTCATTCTAATAAACGAGTAAAGAATATTTCTGCGTCCGCGATTAATTTACTCTACCGCATAATGCGCATAGAGTACGCTTTGGCCGTAATTCGTAATCATCGTGAGTGATGGATGATGTTCCGTTTCCATTACAACAACAACAACAACAATCTTATATCGTTTCGATTAACCGTAGTATCTCTATTAATTTCGCGTGCACGGAGCTTGGAGCTCCGAGTTCTTTGGATTACAAATTATTAACGCGTGCACAATGTGAAATTGAAATGATTTAGAATAATAGTTGTAGGACGTGACGTGTGCGTTGTCTGTACAATGTTTAGTAATTTGGTAAAAATGATTTTCGTTTCATCGTGGCTTGAGCGTGAAACGTTGAAATTAATATGAATTAATCAATTGTTCATTGTTTTTAATGCTATCACAATAATGGTAATTCAATAGTCGCCGAGGGCGTACAATAAGTTTAGCAAAATAATCGTCAAATATTCTCGGATAGTAAATAGTCAAGTCGACACTTACACACAGCACCGTTGAGATTTTGAAAGATTTCAGATTTGTGATCGAGCTTGATCTTGTGCTTCTCCCTCAGCTCGGCGTTAAGATATATCTTTGTGTAAAACATTTGGTCGTCGTCAGTGTCCTCGATTGATTCGGTAAATAAAATGTCATAAATGTCGGAGGCATATCCAATGAAAGCTCCCGAGTTAAGATATCGTAGGCCGCGCTTCACCTCGGGATACAAAGAGGCGAGTGACTTGTCCGGCCAACAAAACTCCTCCGCGGAAAATAGTACACGCGTGTCCTCCCATTCCTTAAACTTGCGAATTATATTGTCGAGCGGTGACAAAAATATCACGTCGTAGCTAAATAGAAAAATACACGAGGAATTATAATGGAGGTGATATCTTTGTACATGAGATGCGCTAGCGAGTGTCGTTGAGTTATCGTCAGGTTAATCCGAGAGATAAGGAAGAGCAGTCGCTCGCGAAAGTGTCAGACATGTTGTATGGTCGATATGGGCTAGCAAACTACCATTACAAATAATTAAATTCTATTTGACGGATTCGCAATCCGTCCTCAAATATTAATAAGTCGAATATTCGTCACAATTGTGATGAATGCATCGGGAATCAAAATCAGTTCAGCATTTTATATTGGCATGAGGATTATAACGAAACGTTATAAAATCCGTATGAAATTTATAAATTTCGTCGCGTGATTATAAAGGCGCGAAGATTATCGGTAACAAAAATATAAGAGAAAGTCTTAGTAATGAACGGGAGTTCGTTATAACGTTTATCATAAGGATAATGAAAATCAGGCCATTAAATTACGTTTACGAAGCGCCGTCCATCCAAAATTCAATTAACAGCCAATTAACGAGAGACGGAAATGCTGATCGTGTAGTAATTCTTAGCGGTTCCCTATTATTATTATTATTATTATTTTTCACGCATAATCGTAATTTATTAACCGCAATTATAGCTGTCAATCATCGTGGCTAAGATTTCAAGGAGATGTGTCTTGGGTTGAAATAGGGAGGGCGAGGAAGACGGGGTGACGGTGAGAGAGGGAGAGGGGGGGGGGAGGAGACGATCGCCACGGTGAAGTCGATTAGACGGAATAAGATGAATAACTCTGTAACCGTATCCTGGTAATGGGATCAGAATGGGATCAGAATGGGATCAGAATGGGATCAGAATGAGATCGGAATGAGATCGGAATGAGATTAGAATGGGATCGGAAGGGGATCGGAATGGGATCGGAATACCGTGCGACTCGTGCATCGAGCAAGTACTTGGTCAGCAGTCTCGATAAACGGAAAGTGAGTCTTGTCCGAACGAGAAGCTCACCTATCCGTGAATATGACGATACTGTTAGGTTTGTGGGCGAGGGAGTTTTCCGCAAATGCCGCCTTCAACAAGTTGATTTTGTGACCACCGCCTGCGTAACGTTTGACGTCTCCTCCGCGCCAAGCCTCACCCAAGCCCAGCACCTGGACGCGATCCTTGAAACCGTAAACCTCGACCGAGTCGGCGTAGCGGCGGAAGCCGTCCGTCTCGTTTGTCGCAACCGTGAATACGTAGACATCTGCAACAGGAATGAGGGGACGTCATGCTTGAAATATGATTGCTAGGAATAATACGTGCCGAGCTGCCCAGTCAACTACAATTCAGAATTACAATTCAGACGCTCAATCTGAACCCAATTCTCGCCGTAGCACGGCCTTTTTATTGAATGTAATGATACAAGTTATTTCGTACAAGCAATTATGATTTAATGGCTTTAAAGTGGTTGTGTAAGCGTATTATAAAGTGCCATTTCGCAATGGATATTTTCTTTTCTCAGCTGGCATAAGTCATGTTTAATGGCGCTTGGCCAACGATGATATCGACCCCAACCATTTCATTCATAATTCCTACGATTTATGAACAAATATCTACGACACTATAATGCACGTCGACTTTTTCTCGCCCCTTAATTCTTATCCGATACGATACTTACTGTACGAGGCTAATTAACTATCCACCATATCAACTATTAATCGGAAATTTATGGGAGGAAATAGCCATACCTCGTCTTTTTTTTTTTATTATCAATTCTTTTTCTCTATTATTATTATTATTATTATTATTATTATTATTATTATTATTTTTACACAGATATATTGACTTGAAGAATAATTACGTTTAAGGCAGCATACACGAAGATAGAAATATATATTGTCATTAATATTATTCCATTAGCGGAATCGTTGGACTCGCTCGCTAATTTTTTTCAAACATTTATATATATATATATATAAATACATTTTAACCTCATATTTTTGGATGATTAATGGTACTTTGAAGTTCTCCTACAGATGCATATTTACAGATACATATTTCTTGTCTTCCTCGTCATTACTTATGATATAAATAGCCACGCGTCGTTGATTTGAAGTTAGCGGCGTTAATTAAAGACATATTACGTATATTGAGCAACTTTGCTTGGCACAATCGAGTCGTGTATCGCGCCAATCAATGATTATCAATAGATCCCGAGAAGCTATAGGACTTTACTGTTTTTATGAAATTTCCACGCTCGGGAGCCTATCATCGATCATCGGAGAATGGGATCGTTGAATCATAGTCGTGCAACATTTGCGACGAGCAGCGCTCGATATTAATGACGATTGAATAGACAAGACGAGCATGCACAACAAATACTACGAGCGCTTAAATTAGCGATTAAATATTCTTCGATAAAGCCGCTGCCCTCGAATAACAAGGGAAAGCACTGAAAGCGACAGGCGGCAACCTCGCTAAGACAAGGACGAGACTCCAGCGTCGGCCGACCGATCCAACGACAACCAACGATGCCATTTGCTTATTGCATTGGCCTGCAGCATTGGCCTGCTCGCAAAAGCCTCCTCTCCATGGAATGGAATTAGCGAAGCGATGGTGGAGTCGTTTCGCCCTGTAGACGAGCGGGCATAGAAAATCGATATTAAAACAAGTCGCGAGGCGACCGAGAGGTGCCGAGAGGCTCGAGTCACGAGCGCTCGTCATAGTCTTAAAATACGCGGCGAGAAAAAGGAGCGCCGCCTCGCGCCTACAAAGCGGAAAAGTTGGCGGCGCGTTGCCGCCCCCGGCGGCTCTTCGTCTCGGAGGCGTATGCGTGCCCGTTTGGACCGTCCTCGTAAGAATCCGTTGCGCGGCCCGAACGACGCCCAACGGGGACACGCGAGGCGACGACACCCGACCCGATCTTCCTCGTCCGCTGGAGCATGGGGCCGACACCGATTATGCCACGTCGCTTTCGTTTTATCACCGCCCGCTGGTGTTGGGATTACTTTCGGTTGATGGCCGGATGCTGCAAAGATGGCTAAGGCGAGGACCGTCGCGACGACGATTAGCCGATGGTGTCGGGCCTCAAGCGTGCACCTCTACTCTCTACTTTTCCTGGGATTACGTAAACGTGTTACGCGAACAATTTAAAAACAATAATAAGAATAGAACCAAAATGAAAAGGAATAAGAAGAAAAAAGTGAGATAACGGTCTATATGACGGGGATAAAGGAACAAAGAGAACAAAGAACGACAAGCGATGGTGAAAATTAGTTTATCGATGAAACGTGAATTGAAAGATCCGGGGAAGTGTGATCGTTTACAACTAAACTCTCTAATAGGCGTCCCAATAATTCCCATTATTAATACTTTAATATGGACAATTACGAATATTGGCATTTGAAGTATTTAGGCCATTGGTTGATTTAGGTTTCATCGATCGCTAATTAATTTGCATAGCGCTGAATAAGTTATCGAGCTCGAGGTCGAGTCAGGTCGTTTTCAACATAGACGAAGACGCGCTATGAGAAAAACACAAAGCCGCTCTTTGGCGATTATTTAACAAAATTGTCAAAACTATATAATATTCAGAACAATATTTTCGTTATTATCAATTATCATGTCGTAGGTCAATTATTATTAATTGACGTTCGGTAGCGCTTAGCGCATATTTTCCGTCAAAGTAGTACTCGCAAATCTTGTTTTGTAAATTTATGAGACCGTGATGAGGCTTAATTTAAATATTTTTATTAATGTCTCGGTGTAATTTAATTGGCAACTTGAAATTATGAAATCATTATTAAATGCACTGGTGAACCATAAACTAATAACACATTCTTATTTCTTTTTAACATAATTATGATTGCCGGATGTAATTGAAATTACCGATACTCGTTAATGGTTGATTTGTAGTAATGTAAACAACTTATGTTATTAATCGCAAGGTTGTATTAGGCGAACAAAAATTACACAAATCATCACGGGTCTGACAGATAATACGAGCACAATAATTTTAACGATGGGAGATAAAAAATTTTTTTATTATTAATTTTTAACAATGGTTTTTTCTCTTCTTCTTTGCTTTTTGTTTTTATTATTTCGAGTACGTGGATTGCATTGGAAACATACAGCACTCGATAAAGTCTTTTATAATTATCACATGAACATGGTGATTGTTTGTTATTGGTTTTGTGAAAATTGTTTTTTTACAACAAACTAAAGAATCCCTCTTCAAAATCCTTGCTGTTATTGGTTAAAATTTCGACCGACAAATACGTAGTTAAAAATATTTTGCTCCACTATTCCCCATGAAAAATTCTATTGAATCAAATTTCTCTTTATAAAACCGACATAAAAGACATTGTTTAAAAATTGCATGCATATGAAAATTTAATAAAATATATAACCATACAATACGCTCTTTATCCAGATTAACATTTATTTATTTCTTGTCTCTCGTTTTTTTTTTCTTCCAGTTATACGTTATTCTGACGTATGAATTTGATATGCGTTAATATTAGATTTTTGGCTAAGGCGAATAATAGGAGAGGGAAATAATAATATACGAGTGGTTTGTCACGCAAGCATGCAGCAGCTGAATATAATTGAAAAAAAAAAAAAAAAAAATCTTTTTGATCCTAATATAGAATGACTTTTATCTGTTAGATTTTTTTTTTTTTTTTTTTTTTGCTCACTAAATATCATCTTTACGAATAATGGCAGTGATATTTGAAATACCAATCTCAGCTTTAAATTTTGACATAAACAATAAAGCAATAATAACAATCTCATGCTAAGGTTAGTATTAAATGGCTTTATGAACGAAAGAAGTAAATTCGTTAAGGTTATTAGTTTTATTTTTGTCGAGTCTTCCGACATTTAAACGTATTAATTGCGTCAGTTTATTGAAGCATCCTGTATAGCTTTTTTTTTCTCAACTCTTCATAACCAAAGAGCTTTAAAACACAACTATCACACGTATTTTATATAAACAAATAATTGCTCTTATGTGACTTCCCATGCTTGCAAATAATTATTTATCACATAACGCGCAATACCAAAACAATTCGAAACTCTTATGCCAATCAAGAACTTTCGCCGTGCGATATCCATGATTTTTACTTTACACACGGAGAAATAATCGATCGAGGCTGCCGAACTTTAAAGCTTAATATAGTCAAATGCTCGTGACACTCGTTCGTCTACTAGTCGAGCACGTGAAATCATTGTGAAAAAAGCTCGCGCGTTTTATATCATAAGCAGGCCATGCGCGCGTAACGGCGAATCCCAAATAACACAGAATAAAACCGGCAAAAGCTTCTCGCAAAAGTGCAGGGGGACAAAGACGCGTAGGACTGGCGAGGACTCGGCTACCAGGAGGAGGCATGCAAGCGTAAGCACTCGCACTGAGTCGGTCTGTGAGCTTTACCATTGACCCCGTCGTATATCAAGTCGTTGTGCGCTAAGATGACGAAGACGAACATCGGGATGAGCAACATGGAACAGCCGCTGCCGCTCCAAGTCCGAGAGCGTCGCACGTTGGCGTAAGGACCCGTGAACATCCTGGGGCCGATCTCGACTGGCGGCACTGGCGGCAGACACGCGGCTGCTCGCAATGGTCGCGATCCCCGGCCGGGATCCAAGGGGGTGGGGGGCGATGCACACGGCGCTTCCGACTCTCTCGGGATGGCTGATGCAAAGGCGCGCCAACGGCGGAGCTTTCCGAGTCTGCGGGCAAAGTAGATCAGTGGCCCTTACTTTCGAGTGTACCGAACTTTGTGGAACTTATGCTACCTCTCGTTGCCGCGTTACCAATCCACATTCCCTCCGCGGCTCGCGATATTGCCGAGACTGTGCCCGCGCAGCAAATGCTTGGGACGCGTCGCGAGGGTCACTGGCCGATCATTTGGTCACTTGGTGATCGATGCCGGGCATCATCGGCTTCGGTCACGCAACGCGCTCAACTCGCATTCGTTTTGGCGTGTCGAACGCGACGTTAGGAGCAACGTAATTTGGGATCGTAAACCAACGTACATTGGGAGCAACGTAAAAATACTCTAGTAGGATCTGCCGTATTCCAGGAGATTTGAAAATGTCTTATCTGAAAGTGGAGGAGGTGAGAGGAGGAGATGGACGATTGAAAAAAAAAAAATAATAAATAAATAAAAACTGTTGTAACAACGTGCCGAACGAGGGATAACAAACAGCCTATGTATAAGTAGAGCTCTGCTTTCTTTTTTTTTTCACGTGCGATGTAATAGATGTCGGACTGCATGATGGTGGAACGACAAATTTACGAATCTATTTAACGTTATTTATTTATTTGTAATTATTGCCAATGAAAACTCAGCATCATACGCTTATCGATAAAATAGTGCACTGCTTGTTGAATACAATAGCCGAGAATTAGCTAATAGCAAGATGGATAACCGTTTCCTAAATCGGTGAAACTTTATTTTTTAATACGTGAAATAATTCGTGAATAAATTGGGAATTACAGTATTTGTACGAGCCATGCATAATACGAAATCACAACTTGAATTATAATTTGCTTGACAATTGTTACAGCTCGTTTTACATATGTAACTGCTGACTGAACTTTGTGCGAAGGGAAACACACATAAAAGCACATATAAAGAAAATATAACGAATGAAAAATGTCTGAATTATTAAAATTCTGAATATTAATACACAATAGTATAGTCGAAAATTGATGAAATAGGCACGGAAGAGTGATCGATAATTAATTTACTGTTTCGTAATAATTACCCACGATTAAGCAAAATTTTTGCTAATTTTCAAATATAATTTAAAGCTTATCGTTGGAAAATTTGGTTTTACGTAACATTTAAATGCCAAAAAATATCGACTAAATGCTCAAACATACTTATAGTAATTTCTGATTACTAATAATTGAATAATTTCTAAAATTATTAAGCACTCTGCAATTATTATTCACAGTATCTATTACAATAAAATAAAATCAACAAAAACAACACTTTTGTAAAATACTTTGTAACAAGATTTTTTTTTTTTTTTTTATATTATTTTTAGGACAGAAAATGCATGGCTTTTACACATTTTTTCATTACAGAAAATTAATCTTTATAACTTCATTAATTAAAATAAAACTGCACAAAATTTTTCAATACTGTATATAGTATAGCAATACTGTATATAATTCGCATACAACTTTAATTTGTGTATTAGTAGTAGTAGTAGTAGTTGTAGTAGTAGTAGTAGTAGTAGTAGTAGTAGTAGTAGCAGTAGCAGTAACAGTAGTAGTAGTAGTAGTAGTAGTTATATTATTATTCTTATTAATAATATTGTTGGTATTTCGGTTATTATTAATTATTATTATCTTTTAAAATTAAACAAATAAGCATATAACAAATTTCAATAATAATTGCTACAGATTAGTATGGTGTTAGAAATAAATTTGTAATATTTATGACATCATAATAATGTTTATGGTGTCATAGAAATTACGAGGTTAGGTTACCAATACTCTAAAAATTAGCGTAAATTTTGTCGAGAAATTTTGAAACCTACTAGGGCAACTACTCGTTAAAACAATCGAAATTCATCTTTCAAACTTCATCTTTTATGAGACTTGGGCTACTACTTATGAAAGAGTAAACAAAGTCTTTTATCACCCCAAACCGGCTGTAATATCACGTCATTTCGTAGAATTCATCACTTATTCACAATTTATGTCTTTTAATGGAGCTTCGTCTCAACCTTATCAATGCACCGAATTTTGAGATACGCTTTAAATTGTTTGAATAACTTTATTCTTTATGCAATTGCACGAGAATAATGTGTAACAAAGTACAAAGTAAGTCGAAGCATCACTGATCAAAGCTACGTCACGTAAAACTCGAGTCGCAGCTAACTGATTAACTGCGCAAGCGCGCAACTACATAAGGCCGCACCTACAATAGCAACATATATATATATATATATATATATATATATACATACATGCGTATATATATATATACATGTGTATACATTGTAAGATAATAATCAAAATTACGAATGAGCGTATAACGAGCTTTATTGCCTATTATGACAAAAGATGATTAATTTATTGTAATAAAAGATGATTATAAATATTTTAGATATAAAATAACAATTGACTATGGACATGTATATCTAAACTATTTCAAAGGTAATCCAATTATTTTTAGTACTTTTATGGTAAGTCGTATCTCCTAACTCGAACTTTTGTAACATTCGGTTGAATACCTGGCGTTCCTTAATCTATAGTAAACAAATTTTTAACCAAAAATAAGATGCTTCCACGTGCCAGTAAGTCTAATGGACACGTCAGATGATAGAAAAATTGAGTGTCACGGATAATATTAATTTTTATCGGATGTTCAAAAGAAAGGCGATTATAATTTTGTGATCGTAGTGTTGAACGTGCTTGTTTTCATATATTTTTTAATACTTTAAAATAAAAATTTGTATGATCTACAAAAGGAAAAGTGAGGGGAGCAAGTTTCAAAGTTTCTTGTCTATATAAGCGGAAATCGTAATAAGTCATTATGCGGCCAAGCCAAAGACGACAACCGGGTTTGCAGTATGGACTGATTCTGCTGGCATCGCAGGCCTTAAATTTTGGAATTAATAAAATTCCACCGGCCACATTAGCTGGAATCCTCCTTCAAAGCCTCCTTTATGCAGGAATGATCAAAGTCCCATGGAACGCAGAGGATGTTTGTATATCGGCATTCAAAATATTTAAAAAGAAAGATTGGCGTTCCTTTGTCGTTTCTAACTTTGAACATGGATCGGACATGCATCTTTATTATAATATGGTATCGTTTCTTTTGAAAGGTTCATATCTTGAATCCATGTATGGAACGATAAATTTTGTAATTCTTGTTAGTATTATATCAATGGGATGTAGTGGTATGTACGTTTTCTTGGGATACGCACTTACAGAAATTACAGAAGACTATACCTATTATACCACTTGTGCTATTGGCTTCTCGGCTGTTCTATTTGCTTTGAAGGTTATTGTTATCTGCGAAGAACGAGACAGATCCCACGATATTGGAGGCTTCAAAGTGCCAAGTAAATTTGCAGTTTGGACAGAACTTATACTTATACATCTTTTAGTGCCAAACTCGTCGTTTGTTGGACATTTTGCTGGTATTTTAATTGGTTGTTTTTACTGTTACACATTCATTGGGGAAGCTATTGACAGTAAAATACCAATATTCAGTGGACAACCAATAATTCACGAAGAACAATTTTATCGACGACGTATACTTTGTTTTTAAACAAAATTTCAAAGCTATTTTATTGACAATCTGTACAAACATTATATATTTATGAAAGAGGGAGAGAAAGAGTAAATTTTATACCAAAAGCACTTGAACATTTGCATATTCGGTGTTATTACTGTGATGAAGATTAATGTATAAAATGGGGATGTAAAAAAAATAATACTACTTTTCTTATTGTAATTTATAAATAATAATTATATTAAATTATTATATAACTAACTATGTGTATTAAGCGTTCTTTATGACTTTCTAATCCCTTTGTTATTATATTAGAATCCATATCCATTCAATTCAGAATGAAATTCAGCGTATAAACTTTCAATCAATATGTCACCAAATATATAAAGTGTCGATTAACACTTATAAAATCTTCAATGGGCTTAATTGTTATTTTAGTTTTTACTCATATTGAAATTTATTGATAAGAAGCATATTATTTCTGTAGTAAGAAAATCTTTGTAAGTTATTAAATAATAATAATGTAAAATGTATGTCTTTGTTAAAAATATTTATTAATATTATGAAAAATTTATTGTAAATTGTGTTTTATTTTAATTACTGTATATTAAGTACTCGAATGAAATTATTAAATTGTTAATAAGCAGCTTTATGCCTATAAATATATATATGGTGTTCGACAACAAATGCCAATACAGAATAGTTTTCATCCACATTTGCATTAAATAATATCCTCTTAAGAAAATATAAATTGATATTCTGACTTAAAAAGAAAATTATTTAATAAATACTTGAAATTATGATAGTGATTTTATAAATAATTAAGACTAACGTATAAATCAAATCGATCAAAAACTAATCTAATTTAAACAAAATTTAAATAATAATTCATTTATACATAATTCTAGCGAAGCTTTTTATTGTATACATATCAATGTTACAAGTTTTTACCTAAAAGTCATTTATATATATGTATATATATGTATATATAAAATGTGTAAAAATCTAAATGAAATCAGAAATATAGAAATATATCTGGGAGTTTTGTATACTTTCTGAATTTCGTTCAAATCAACACTAATATTAGTTTATTTAATCTAATATTTTTATCAATAAACCGAAGGATGAAGAGAAATTTTAATCTTAATGTGCAGCTATTTTCATATTTTAATTTCATTGGAAATCATATAAAATTGTTTATATTTAAACTCTTGCGTCTGAAAATTTAAATTGAAAGTATTTACCTTCATTATTACTTTCATGATAGCAATTAGAATTCCTTTGAGTTAATTGGATGATCTTCGGTACTCTTCTGTCTTGAACTTCTTCGCAAGATGAATTTTTATTGTTTTTGCTTACGTAATAATTGATATTTAAATTACGGCTACAACTATACTGTGATTCATTATCTATAATTAAGATTTCATTTCTTCCTGAACAAACACTAACAAACATAAACAAGATGGACAATGTAAAAGTACCAGTAGGCATAATTTTCATATAAAATTGCTAGAAAACCTAAGTGAGTAATATATAATTTTTAAAATTGCAAGTTTTATTTAATAATATACTAAGTTCGTGAAAACGACTCGGATCGATCTAAAATGTAGACACGCTCAGATTAAGGATTTATAGAAAGCGAGAAAGTGGTAAGAGCATGACGATAAAAGTAATTTCCGTATTTTTTGTGATAATATTAGGTTTGAGCTCTTGGGTCCTCGATGCCGTTACGCTTGTCTGACGATCCTCTTGTTTTTCACGCATCTCCGATCAAATAGTCAATAGCTTTCACTACCGTCGAACGTGATCGTAACAAATCCTGCAACTGTCGACACTACGATAAAAACGACATTTTTGCCTTTCCGCTTTCAAAATACATAATACGCTTTACAAAATAATTAATATTTGACCGAGTGACGTCGATAGTGAGGAGGATAAACAACGCAATAATGTTCAATTACTTCTCATAGAAACATCAATAGATTATTTTATAAGAGTATAATCCACATAACAATTGCAATTTTCATCTCTCCACAACCATCATCAAATTTTAGTTATTACTACGTCTTATATAAATTTATACGTCATTTATTCATTTGATTGCATACTAATAGCTATTCTACGATAGTAAATATTTATAAATTAGTTGAGAGAATGATTATAACAAATTTAATCGTGTAGCGGTCAAAAATTTTATAAAATGAAAAAATAATTCAATATAGCAATTAAGATATTCAATTAATTCATCATTTGAATGTGAAAATTATTATCTTAACTATATCTTAACTAAAGTTGCGATATTAGTGATCATTGATTAAAATCGTGATCTAGTAGACATTATAACAATAAATATTAAATACACTGTTGATCAAGATCATTAAAGTTTGAAAATATAGTGAAATTGTTTAAAATTGTGACATTTGATTAAGGATAAGAAGGTGTCTGTGGCGAATAATAGGGGATTGCAAAAGGTATTGTATCGTAAATGCATATCTATAGTACAAACCGTTTTATACATCAATCATAGATATTCCTCGACTTATTAATCAGAGCGAGCGAGAGAGAGAGAGAGAGAGAGAGAGAGAGAGAGAGAGAGAGAGAGAAATCCCTCTATTATTAAAGACCTTTGAGAACAAGATCGAAATTCGTATTAACGACCTGTATGAACCAAAAAATATAGATTTGACAATAGATCAATAATACCATTAGTGTTATTAGTTAATTTTTTTATATACGTTATTTTACAGCCTCAGACATGTTATTTATTCTTTGAATGTGTGCACGTCTTCGTAAAATATCATGTTAATCGAGCTATTTTAGATATGATTTAGTATTTTTATCACACTTTTTCCTTGCTCAGTTTAAACAATATTTATAAAATATATACTAAGACATATTAATAAAATATTTTTAATTATAATTCCAGATATACTTTCCGTTACAATAAGTCTTACGAAATTTATAAGAATTAACTTTAAAAATACTTTGTGAGGACAGAATGTTTGAATTCCATTTTGAATGGATCTTTTTTTTTTTTTGTTGTTCATAGTAAATATTGAAATTTTACAAATAAGAAATAATTTTTATTTTTCGAAAAGTTCATTTTCGATTGCATAAACTTTTATGAACTTTTATTTCAAAGTATATTTTAAAATAAATCATTAACATTAGAATTATTATTTTTGATCGGTATAATTGTATCAACGAACAATCTGTATATACATGAAAAAGCGAGAAGGAAAGTTGGTTATACGTATAGACCTTTTTACTAAACCTAATCGACTTAACCACTATATAGGTACATATGAAAACTTATGTCTAGGCAAATGGGATTGGAGCAGTGGTTTAATATAATTACTGGGTTAGTAGTGGTTGTTACTAAGGTTTCGTTCACACTTCCCGTTGGATTCTTTTAGTCTAGTTAAACGAGTCGTACGAGCGTTGGGATCGAAGAAAATAACTGCGGAGAATTTTTGATCACTAGTGGGCGAATGTCCCTCTTACCCTCGTCCAGCTTTATATAATTAAAAGGGCTGATAATAGGAAGGAAATATGGGCAAGGAGGATGCAGAAACGACTGCCCTGAAGAAGGAGCTTGAAGATCTAATCAACAAATGTCAGGTGAACTTTAAAAAATAATGTTTGTAAAAGTTGAGGAAATTAAAATGCAATAGATATCAAATTGTTGTTGAATGCAATCGCAAATTATTTTATTTGCTCTTAAGAGTTAAAAAATTCATGAATATCAACGGCTTTTATATTCATATTGTAAGAAGCCTTTTTCGTTTCTTTAAAATTTATAGAAAAACTTGAGTATTTATAGGTTTTTTTTTTTTTTTTTTTAAATTTTACTTCATTGACTTTGTTCACTGTCAGACTCTATGATTAATGTTTAGAATTATGAGATTAATTTTATTCAATTAATAACCAATTGAACAATAATAAAGGCCTTTAATTTTAATTTATCGTTTTAAATCTTATTTATTCAGAGGAAAGCGAACGTATAGAAAAATATATGATAACTAGGACTCGTAGATTTTCAAATTACTTTTGAAAATTAATATACGAATGAGAACATTTTCCTAACTAAAGGATCTTAAAAGTCAAACCATAACCTTTTAAACAAATAAATTGTTCAACGTATTTGGAAAAAAATATATCCTTGAATGTAGGTTTCGTTCGATAACATTGCGTAAAGAAAAATTGGATGTATTAGTTGATTTTGTTCAAATATGTATTGAGTGAATACGTATAAGTCGATGAGTGGGATTTCTTATATAAAAGATTGCGACTATTCGTAAGTGGATAAGTTGGTCTTATAAAAAAATCATAAACTATTATAATAATTTTATATTAAACATTACTAAACTTCAGAGTTTTGCGTAAAAAATATCAATAGAGTAATTTTGGCTTTAATAACGCCAAGTCATAAATATTTATTTAAAAAAGAAATAGAGAAAAACAAATTTTCTAAAGATTATTATAAATTTATCGAGTCAGTAAAATGCAACAATATGCGTTTTATTTCATTGAGTTACAACAATACCATTAATAGTGTATAAAATCAATGTACTTAATATTGTTTAGAATAAAGCTTTTTTTTTCATTTTTTATTTTTTATATAAAGTAGTTGTAAAATAATGTAAGATATATTTAAAATATTGGAGAATTCAGTTAGAATTCATTTTACGTAGTTGACTTGAATCGTCATAATCGCAAAAATCAATCTCACATTAATATAGCCTGAGCTGTGAGCATTTTACCTACTAATGCGCCACGATTAATTCCTTGAATAGTTTCATTTAAATACTTGAGACAAGCGATGTTATTTATGTTAATATCGAGTATCGATTGAAATTTAAAACTAAAACTGTATAACAGAAGCGATCTCATGAACCCAAGGAGTACAATTAATTTATACCGCCATAATTTTTTTCAACTTTTTGTTGGATGTTCGGAGTGAGGGAGAGAGGCATTTGCCACAAAAATTCATTGAGCTGTAGTGTTAAAAAAAGAAAAAACTTGTTTGACTTTCTATTATCTATTTTCGTGAGGGTACGCGATCGAAGTTAACGAAATAATATTTAATATAATTAATGACAATCACTGAGCATACATTGTTTATACTTGTCGATCTTAGGAGGATCAGAAAAAGCAGCAGGATGCGAAGATCGAGGATGCATGTAGCAGCGTAGCGGATGCTCCGAAGATAAAAATGGTTACAAAGAAGATGCTAAAAGGGCATATTAATAAAGTAAATTCAGTACACTTCAGCGGCGACAGCAGGTTTATTTACAATTTATAATTAATTTCTAGATTATTAATAGAGGATTGTGATTCTATTTGAGTGATAAATTAATCGAAGCTCTTTTAAAATATTCAAAAGAATAAAAAAAAAAAAAGGAAAGAAAAGATTTGTAAAGATGTTTATTTAAATTTATTGGTAATTTTGTGTGTGTGTGTGTGTGTGTGTGTGTGTGTGCGTGTGCGCGCGTGTGTGTGTGTGTGTGTGGGTGAGCGAGCGAGCGAGCGCACGTGCGTCTGTGTCTATGCGTGCGTGAGTGTTTGTGAGCGCGTGTGTCTGTCAGTTCTCTGTGCGTGTGAGTGAGCGTTTGTGAGCGCGTGTGTGACAATTTGCAAAAGCCCAATGAGATAGTAGTTTGAATTGGTAGTTTTTAAGTTTTAGAATTTCATTAGTTTGAAAGTAGTTTGACAGCATGTGCCGTCCGATTTATCTCAATACGTATGGATTTATGATTTAGAGCCGAGTGCGATAATAATCTTGCCTCTAGTTATAAATTTGCAACCAATGAAAGTAGCTTAATGATGAGCTCGCGAAAGCTCCGCATAATTATGCGCCCACGAGGGTTAACGATGCGGATTAACGTGACTCGTGCACGCGGAGTTGTAGGCACTGCGTGACAGGCTCCCTGGACGGCAAACTCATCATTTGGGACTCGTGGACGGGCAATAAGGTCCAGGTCATTCCACTGCGCTCGGCCTGGGTAATGTCCGTGGCGTTCGCACCTTCGGGCAATTTCGTCGCTTGCGGCGGCATGGACAACATGTGCACCGTCTACGACGTAAACAACCGCGACGCCACTGGCTCCGCCAAGATAACGCGCGAGCTCCTCGGCTACGAGGGCTTCCTCTCATCCTGTCGCTTCCTCGACGACAGCCACATCATCACGGGCTCCGGTGACATGAAGATGTAAGGCCAATTAATAATTAATAGTCCCGGTTGACTCTATCCAACAGCCAGCCTGTTGGGTCTGCGCTAAACTCGGCCGACCAATGGATCTTAAGAGACTTTGTCGGCTAATTATTATCGGCTAAGAGTGTCGAGATTACGCGTCGAGAGATCCTCCACACGGAGCTGAAAGGCCTTTTTAAACGCGGCCGAGTTTAGTCGGGGCAAGTGTCGTCGTTGTCAGAGAGGCGAGAAATAAACAGCGACGACAATTTATAACGCAGCTGCATCTGGGACTTGGAGGCCAATAAGAAAACGTCGGACTTCCCAGCCCACGCGGGTGACGTTGTCAGCATAAGTCTCGGCCCCGATGGTAAAACTTACTTGACGGGCTCGGTCGATAAGACCTGCAAGCTCTGGGACCTAAGGGAAGAGACGGCCCATCAGACATTTTTCGGCCACGAGGCCGACGTCAATTCCGTTTGCGTGAGTTTCCCTTAAAAAGCGCTTCTCTCATTCGCATTGCCATCGTGCACAATCAATCCGAATAAAGTCTCACGGCCGTCAACATTAGCACTAGCCAATAAGCTTTTACAGTCGGCTTTTGCACAACGCTTCGATAATAATTCCCTTGCCCTACCCCTGAAATCTCTTAATCTCTTTTGTGTTCAATGTAACAATTCAAGTACCATCCGTCGGGGAATGCCTTCGTAACCGCCTCAGAGGACAAAACTGCACGACTGTGGGATTTGCGCTCGGACCAGCAGATCGCTTCGTTCAAGCCGCCCAACTCCAATCCCGGCTTCACGTCCAGCGGACTTTCTCTCAGTGGCAGGTTTATCTTCTGCGGCACCGACGACAATAATATCCACGTGTGGGACACCCTCAAGATACAGCATAACGGTATGTGCTCTCGCGGCTTCCAATTGGATTTGCAGTGCGTTGTCGGGGCGAATGAATTGTCCGGGTGGATATGGCGATAAGGCAACTCGGCGATGATGAATAGAGCTTTGTGTTTGGCTAGGTGGTGATAAGCGCGGGACTCCACTCGACACTAAATCTGCTAGATTTGTTAAAGCAACATTGAACGGGAGTGTAATGTCATTACAAATATTACTTACATTATCAATGACAATATAAAATGCATTTGGCTTTTTTGCTTTTTCAAGTTACGATTGATGCGCTATCATTGAGACGTATTAACTTTGCAAAGACACGTTATTAGAAAAATCATTGTTATTATGTAATAATAAATGTAATAATAATAATAAGTTATTATGTAAGCCGCGATTGTTTTTCTCACAATGAGTTTAACGTCCTCGACGAATAATAAATTATTATCAGACAACGAATTTATAGTTTTGCCAATTCCGTTTAAGTCGATACTTTTTAAGGCTTGGAAAAAGTCTATTAAAATTGCCTTTTTCATTTCTTTATTGTTGTATTTGCAGGTGTGTTGCAAGGTCACGAGAATCGCGTGACATCCCTAAGTGTATCTGGAAATGGTATGGCAATTGCCAGTTGCTCCTGGGATCAAAACGTTCGAATTTGGGTTTAAGTAAGTGTTGGTATGCAAGTTGAGAGAAACAGCAGAAATGCTATCAATATATGGCTTACGTAATACAATTCGTGTTACGAAATTCATAATTCTATATTAATTATATCGTTAATCAATTAAAGTATTTCAATTTGCATTATATGAAGAATGTTTAAAAGAAGCTTATTTATATTTCAACAAGTATTGTATTTAATCGTTTTATTATTTATACATAAATCGATGATGGATTAAGGGATGACGATTGTATTTATTGAGAATAATATGTGTTTTTAATAATAAATAAAACTATTTAATAATAAATAAACAATGTTATGTCCTTTTGCTAACTCAAAATATTGCGTTTATTAATATTATTATTGCGGTACAATACATCAGGTAACCACAATTTTTCTTTGTGTGTGTTTATGTGTGTTGGTGGGTGATGTGTGTTATTTTATATGTCTGCATTTATAATGCAATTTAATAATAAATATTTCAAGTATAGCCCACTTTGTAGAAATTAATATACGTTTATGAATTGCATAATCGCGTGTGAAAACGCACTCATTTAATGATTTACAATAGAATTTATTTATTGTTAAACTTGTTGCGCCTATCCACACACATATACAAATATAAGAAAACGATAATTATCGATATATATATATATATATATATATATATATATATATATTAATTTTTTTCCTTCTTTATATTCTTTTTTTATGTTTATATGTCGAGAAAAATATTTCTTCTTGAAAAGATAAGCAATGAAATAATTCATCGAGAACTTTCCTTTTTTTTCCAAGAAGCATGATATTCTTTACCATTTACAAACAAGTTTTAAAAACAGTCAATGGTTTTTGCGTTATTTATAAAATATCAATTAAATTTATTTGTTTATATGCATATGCATACATGTATAGATGCATGTATGATTGTATACGCGTGTATATATTTACATATGTATGTATACATGCATACATACCACACACACACACACACACACACACACACACACACACGTACATCTGTAATGTTTACATAATGATGTAAGTTAAATAAGATATAAATACAATGAAATTAAACAATCGCGTTATTTCATAAATTGCATAATAATCGATGCACCTTTCATCGAGTGTTATTTTGGTGTATCACAGAAAATGTGTATTTTGTATAAATTTATATTTATAGATACAATACTGGTAAATTTAATTTTAAACTAGTCGAATAAATGATCGGGTGTATTCAAATAATTTAGGTACGGAGTTAGCTAAATTAATTAAATATTAATACTTATTGGTTATTGGAGTATAAAGCAATTTATATAAGTACCGTGTGCATTATCAAAAATATTAACGGTAAAACGTTGTAAATATTTTCAATTAGTACAAGTAAAATGCAATTAAAACCCTCGATTGATCAAGAGATATTTTTCTTCCTTACAATTACATTTGGTGATGTATTCATAATTTTCGAAGCCTACTTGACTAAACGACAAAAGTACGTTCCTTCCGCCATTAAATAAAAAAAATCTATCGCTAACGAGTAAACATAAACATTTTTTGTTTTGTTTTCAGCATGTAATCCCTAAAAAAGAATATTCGTGATCACAACTACATTAAAATACATGCGTGCTTTTTTTCTACATTCTTATCAACTATACATTGCTAATTTCGTTTTAAAATCCATCCAGATGAATTAAAAGGGCTATTGTTACTGTCGCTCCTGTCTCTTTAGTCGCCCACTCGATACACTCGAGTTGCGAGTCTAATCCATCTTTTTTACTGGATGTTGTGTACGAGCCAGGCCTTACGAGCAGTTGAAACGCGGTTGATACGTTGACTTTCTTATTTGACTCAGTGTCAATGTACCTGTAAGGCATCCAAATAATTTACTAAACAATTGTAATATTACAGTTTTTATCTATGGCAATCGGCAACCTTATTTTTATGCATAATCACTGCAAAATTCAGTAATTATCGAGGTGCTCGTACCGTTTCATAAAGCACGTAAGCTTAAATTATTTTAAGAAATTAGGTATTTCTTTTAAATTTACGTCATCAAATATTTATTCTGCCATTATGAATTTTAGAATACTACAACTAAGTAATATATTACAAAATTATATAAGTAAAAGCTTACGAATATTGTTTGCTGAATTCTTCAGATATTACACACTTGACATTTGGTGAAAATACAACTTGAGGATTTTGATCCTCGCTACTCGTTCCAGTTGTTAGAGAGTCGGTATCCAACTGCTCTTTGGTTATTAGTTTACCGTTATCAAGAATCCATCTATAAATAAGAAAAATATTTATACCATCACGGCATTGATAAATGAATATTTTAAAACTATATACCACTTTCATTTACATGGTATCGAGTTAAAAACAAAAACAAATGGATAAGTAAAAAGCGTTAGGGAAAAGGAGCGAGTTTAAGTTAAAAAACGGATGCATGTAAAATAAAAAAGCACGATGTTCGATACAATTCGTTAAAAAGCAGATCAGAATTTTAAATTACCATGTCGAGGTTATAGCATATAATAAGATAATTAAATGAGAAAAAAATCATTATTTCATGATCGATAATACTTAATTTGTGACTCAAGAATACATTGAGGCCCATTAACATTTAAAGAAACTTAGTGAGAAAAATATAGGATGTTTAATATTATTATTTATGTGATTTTGGGACGTTTTCGTCGGTTTATAAAATCGATGAAGGTAAAGAAGGGATGCCACGCATCTATAAAAACAGTATAAGATTATATGACTTTGTAATGAATGATTTAATTGCATCTCTGGACCAAATTTTACGAGTCTGATATTTCGGCTTATTATCGTATCAATCGAATTAAAACGAATTTGTATTTGCAAATAATATTATGATTAATTAATTTGAAAAAATAGGTAAGCTTACTTATTTTTTTCAACCTCGTCATTTGTCAAAAATTAATAGAAACCTCAATTAGGCAATATTTCGTAAGGCAAAATAAAACTTAAATAATTAGCGCTCATCGATGCTCGGTAACACGAGAGAGAGTGCTTATGTTAAGGCCCAATTATGCGTGGCTTTCTTACTGGAAACTTTTTTTTTTTTTTTTTTTTTTTTTTTTTTTTTTTTTTTTTGATAAATAGCGTTCAACAAGTTTATGAAATGTATAAGTATATCGGAGGAGTATATATATATATATCCTTTTAAACGGAATGTTATTATTTCTTTTTTTTCTTCTTTTTGTAAATGAAAAAGACGTGAAATTAATGCGCATACTCGGGGGTCCAAGTAATTCCGAACTTCTGAATTACCTAACAGTATCGATTCTCGTTCCATAAAAGGCAACATGCCACTTATCGGTTGCACTCTGCGGTATTTGATTGGCGTTAATATTAGGTTTCAATGGGAACCTAACCCAGCCCACCGGCATCACGAACTCGGCCAACGGCTCGCCTTTCTTACAAATGGCCGAGTTACCGTCAAGTTTGAAACAGGAGCTGCAGTAGCAAAGTATCTCGTCGAGAGAGAAAAATTCATCCGGCAATACCAATGAGTTTTTCAGTCTTATGCAAGCTTTGAGGTACTCGCATTTCCTCGAGGGTGGCATCACCAAATTGCTGGTGGCCAAGGGTGTGGACGGCATCGATGCGTGTGAGGATATTGTCTGAGCAGTGCTCAGAATGCTGTTGGAGAAGTAGTTGTGTGAAATCTGTATACCCTGCTGAAATTGAAAATAAATATCATTAATATTTTGTATTTCTATAAAATCCAGATGCTTTTAACCATTTTTTTCTTCTTCATTTTATTAAGGTGATTTTACAATGATCCCCGTTACGACTATAATCGTGTGATATCGAGCGAAAAGAAGGTGATAAATTTGTGTTATTAGCAAGTAGGAGGTCATTGATATTAAATGATCGATTGAATAATTCAAACAATACAATTTACAATTTTCTCATTTAGCGCGAATGGGAAGTGTCGAGATTGTTCGACTATACGTCTAATTTACATCGATTAGTCTATAATATCGTAACTGTAAATACTCTATTACTGAAATACTGTATAATTTAAGTCAATAGCCTATATGAATATTGTCTATGAAAGTGTTTAGATCTTAAAGTGCAAAATGCAAAATGTACGATCAAACTCACCAATGAGTGCCTGTGAAGATTCAAGACGAGCTCATGGGGTGCGTTCGTAGGGCAATGATTTGTGTGCCAACCTCGAGCATTCGAACTCCCCGTCATTATTGCGTTGTTATTGTTTTGCGTACTATTCGATGCAATGCTCTCGTTTATCGCATTATTCGCATTAGTTGCATTTATAGCAGTACTTAACGTGCTGATATTTGTTGAATTTATAATCGAGCCATTCTTAATGTTGATATTCGTGGCGTTATTTAATTCAACGTTCGAACAGGGTTCGTTATTATTCATGACGAGAGGAGAATCTTGACTACTTCCCTCTCGTAGTGACTCGTAGTGGTCTTCCGCAGCGGCGATGTCATTATCGTGCAATGGTGTAGGAATTATCGAATCCTTATCATTATATGCGCCATTATCGTGGACGTGGATACTGGAACTTTCGGAATTCGATTGGGAATCAGAGCAGAGCTCGGAGCAGTTTTCGGATGCCATCGCTTGCTTCAGTTCTATCCACACGGAAATGATAAAAAAAAAAGAAAAAAAAATCAACAAAAAAAAAAGAAGAAAAAAAAAACAGAAAGAAAGAAAACAATTGAATTCGGTTGATTTTTAGATGTAATTTGAAAGAGATTTTTATATTTGTAATTTCATGTAATGGGAGGAGGGATTCGATTGTTATTACGAATAAACTAACGAATAAACGAATAATTCGAGAGGCTAATTATATTTCATTAAACAACTCAATAAGAGAGTTAAATTTATTGTGCAGAATTGCCGTGGTACCTTTATGATTAGACAGTGAATTCCTGCTCGCTAAATTATTATTCTTGGCCACTGTAGTGCTCAGATTTCCTTCGTCTAGCTCTGCTTTCACCTCGTTACTCCCGCCTCTTTCTTGCGTATCTAATAATCTTGGAATCTCATCCGTAAGCTCATCCACATGCATTGCGCTACCGCTTTCCTTCTCATGACACTCGAGATCTGCTTTTTCCCTCGAATTCTCAACATCATCCGCTTCGATGGCCAGCCTCTCCATCGCGCAAGCGGCCGCATTATTTGTGTCGTTCAGCATCTCGTTATAGTTAATGGGTGGACTGTTCGTGCTCTCGCTAGATACATTGACTATGGAAATCTGCTCGCATTGGCCATAGAGATCGATCACCGCGTACACGTACGGAGGTAGATCCGAGGCTGCAACACCTTGATCTAGACCGTCGATGTATAGATGTAATCGTGAATCCTCATCAATCAGTAGGCCTACCGTTGAACCTACGTGCAATCTCTCGAGATTTGCGCCATAAGACGATCGAATCTGCGATGGAAAGAAGCTTACGATTTATTTTACCCCTTAAAAATATATGAATTAAAAAGAAAAAAAAAAAGAAGTATAAAATTAGAGATAAAATTGTAAATGCTATGTTAATTAAATTTTTATCGATACCATTAAGCATTATTTATTTGCGACAATGTCTATAAATTATAATGCCTCAATTGATTATTCATAATCTATGGCTAATTGGCTACGTTTATCGTACGTCGAGGCACATGACAAAATACTGTCGAATCCAGATAATTAGATTAATTTTAATTAAAGATTCGTATAACCTTCGTTCCGTTATGAGATAGCCAATCCCCGCATATGATCCACGAGTATTTTTTTAATCCAAGAGCTGTTACGGGAAAAGTTATCTTGTCAGGCGATAAACACGAGATTCCACACAGCATTCCAGACACCCATCGCTCATTCATTTTATCAATTTTAACTTGAAGTAGCTTATTTTTTATTAAAGGCTTACTTGACATGACCATTCCTATAAAATAGAACTTTTGAAGAAAAAAAGAAAAATAATGGCACATTCCGATCTACTTTAAAGCGTAGAAATAAAAAGCGAAAGAATAAAAGATAAAAGAAAAAACATCTCGTAGCAAATTGACATTAAAAATAATTTAAGAATTTGTGTTTACCCTGATTATAGCTTGCCACTCTTTTAGCTATTGTTTTTTTCTCCAATTGCACATTTCGACCGTGATTTTCGTGAAATTCATATGGCCAATCAGTTTCGCCTAGCAATGGCAGAGGCATTTGAGTTGGCGTTATCAGTTCGTTTAATAATTTACCTTCGCCACACGTATCGATCGACGTATCCATACCGTTATCGCTAAAATTTCCAATACATATAATCATTAAGCGAAATGTAAAATTACACATTGCCTATTGCATAGGAATACACGAAGGAAATACTTGAAACATAAAAGCTTATTTATCATGGATGTCGTTTCGTACACATATTGTCAATTATTTCGCTACTACTGCATTCGCATAATCACAAGCAACTTATCTCTATTGTAAATGAGCCTTGTCTACAATTGAAAATAAATAAAACAAAAAAAAAACTATAAAAAAAATCTTACAAACACAGAGAACGACATAGATAGAATAAAGAAATCGAACATGCTTTTATGGGAATAAATAAGACGGTAATTGACTAGTCGAGAGACCTTGAATTCTCTCGTCGTACCTTCGTATACCAGGGGGCACGGGATCCAACAGCAACTCTAACGAATCTTGCAATCTCAAACTACCACTTGGTGATGTCGTCATGTTCTGCTGTTTGGTGCTGGTAATAGTGACGGCGGCCGTGCTACCAAATAGTTCAATAACGGCGTAACACATTTCCGGAACGTTGGACGCAGCGACGCCCATGTCTTCGCGATTAACGTAAAATTTCAGGTTACCCTCGTTCGTTCGCTTTAAGCCAATTTTGTCGCCCACGCGTAGCCAATCCAGACTTGGACAATAGTTCCAACAAAGGCAGTGCGTCTTATGCCGGATCTGGTTACCTGCACTCGCATCATTACGAAATTGATGAAATTGACAAAAATAGTAACGAACCCCTCCGCGTCTTCAAAAAAAACCTTGAAAGTTCCTTGTAGCGGAGGGAGACATTATTAATGTAACCCACCAGTCAGATACCAGGATTCCCCAGGTATGGACGTTATGCCTTGAACGAGATTCGTCGAGGTGAGCCAACTTCCGATCTCGTTACTGACTATGCCTATCCTAAGCGAGCCGCTCCATTCATTCGCCACCTCCTGAATGCTAATCTCAAAAATTTCATTATTCTCTAGAGCCTCGTTGCTCAGCAGCACAGCATTGCAGTATTCCCGGCACCTCGTGGCCACCGTGCGACTCGTGTCCAGCTGGATGTTCGAGCCTACGGACTCGTGGAACGTGTGGGTTATTTCGGCCTGCTGGCTTGTCGTGCTGTTTTCCGAGGGTAAATACAATTGAAGCATTGTGTCGCGACGCTCGGGAACCACTATGGTTACCTACAAAGATATATTTTTATGTCAAATATTATGTAAAGAGTATCGTAACGTAACTGCATCGTGTCCGTCCATATTATTGGCCTCGCGTGAATACGGCAATGCGCGATCCTCACAGCTGCGAAGTATCACGATATAAACGAACCGAGCATGGTGGTAGCGAGGGAGTAGCGAGGGAGTAGCGAGGGAGTAGCGAGGGAGTAGCGAGGGAGTAGCGAGGGAGTAGCGAGGGAGTAGCGAGGGAGTAGCGAGGGAGTAGCGAGGGAGTAGCGAGGGAGTAGCGAGGGAGTAGCGAGGGAGTAGCGAGGGAGTAGCGAGGGAGTAGCGAGGGAGTAGCGAGGGAGTAGCGAGGGAGTAGCGAGGGAGTAGCGAGGGAGTAGCGAGGGAGTAGCGAGGGAGTAGCGAGGGAGTAGCGAGGGAGTAGCGAGGGAGTAGCGAGGGAGTAGCGAGGGAGTAGCGAGGGAGTAGCGAGGGAGTAGCGAGGGAGTAGCGAGGGAGTAGCGAGGGAGTAGCGAGGGAGTAGCGAGGGAGTAGCGAGGGAGTAGCGAGGGAGTAGCGAGGGAGTAGCGAGGGAGTAGCGAGGGAGTAGCGAGGGAGTAGCGAGGGAGTAGCGAGGGAGTAGCGAGGGAGTAGCGAGGGAGTAGCGAGGGAGTAGCGAGGGAGTAGCGAGGGAGTAGCGAGGGAGTAGCGAGGGAGTAGCGAGG